TTTTGGTCACCATGATATAAAAAAAAATGTTGAGACCCTAAGAAGAGAAGAGCAACAAAGATGATTAGGGACAGTGGTGGGATTCAAATATGTGAACAACTGGTTCTCTGTGTGGATGCTGCTTCCGGAAGTCCATTCTGGGCCTGGGCAACAAAAAAATTAGCTACCAGTTCTGCCGAAGTGGTGCAAACCAGCTGAATCCCACCACTGATTAGGGGGCTAGAGGCTAAAACATACAAATAATAGTTGCTGGAATCTGGTATGTCTAATTTAATGAAAAGAATGACCAGGGTTGATATGATAGCAGTGTTCCAATATTTAAGGGACGGCCGCAAAGAAGAAGGGCGTCAACCTATCCAAAGCACCTAAAGGCAAGACAAGAAGCAATGGATGGAAACTAATCAAGGAGAGAAGGAACCTGGAATTAAGGAGAATCTTCCTAACAGTGAGGACAATTAACCAGTGGAAGGGCTTGCCTCCGGAAGTTGTGGGTGCTCCAACACTGGAGGTTTTTAAGAAGAGATTGGATGACCATTTGTTTGAAATAGTATAGTGTTTCTTGCTTGAGCAAAGGGTTGGACTAGAAGAAGTGACTAGGGCAGTGATGGCGAACCTTTTAGAGACCGAATGCCCAAAAACTGGCCCCGCCCCTGCTTCACCTTCCTGCCCCGCTCCTGCTCTGCCCCCCCTGCCCAAAGGACCATCACTGCCTCCAGGGCCCACTATAGATCACCCAGGCAGCTCAGCAGTGCTATGGCGGCCACAACCCTCTGCCCGTACCTTGCAGCATCAACTGCGTGATGGGGTGTGAGGGCAGAGTCTTGTTTACGCTGCCTGGCTGCCTTGTCCTTGGCTGCGCTGCTCCGTGTGGACCACGCTCGGGGGTGACTCTCCTTCAGGGGGGGCTGCTGGAGAGGAGGGGGTTGTGGGGGGAGGCAAGGCTGGGGCAACGGCACGTGTGCCCACAGAGAGGGCTCCGAGTGCCACCTCTGGCACCTGTGCCATAGGTTCACCACCACTGGACTAGGGCCTAGTTCAGGGATAGACAATCTTGGCTCTTTTATGACTCGTGGACTTCAGCTCCCAGAATTCCTGAGCCAGCCGTGCTGAGGGGAAAGGGAGAGGTTTCCAAGCTGAGCCATGCTGGCTCAGGAATTCTGGGAGTTGAAGTCCACGAGTCATAAAGCGGCCTAGGCCTAGGCCAGAGGTAGGCAACCTTGCCTCTTTTATGACTCGTGGACTTCAACTCCCAGAATTCCTGAGCCAGCCATGCTGAGGGGAAAGGGAGAGGTTTCCAAGCTGAGCCATGCTGGCTCAGGAATTCTGGGAGTTGAAGTCCACGAGTCATAAAGCGGCCTAGGCCTAGGCCAGGGGTAGGCAACCTCGGCTCTTTTATGACTCATGGACTTCAACTCCCAGAATTCCTGAGCCAGCCGTGCTGAGGGAAAAGGGAGAGGTTTCCAAGCTGAGCTATGCTGGCTCAGGAATTCTGGGAGTTGAAGTCCACGAGTCATAAAAGAGCCAACATTGCCTACCCCTGGTCTAGTTTATAACCTGGATATATTTATTGTGGCTTTATTTTACAATTAATACCCTGTGGTACAAGTTTCATTGATGTAGTTGATTAATACAGAGGGGCAGAGAATAAGATCTTTTTTTAAGATGAAAATTTACCTTATTTTTATACTCCACATGGGCAAAGTCTAACCATGCTGGGAATAGAACATTCTGAGCAAGGACATTTCATTCTTCTCCTGAATCACCAGATCTGATAGTGGAATGGCAATTTAATTCTCTGAACTTACATGAATCGAAACTTAGTTCTTTGCTAGAAACTCTGATTTCTCTTAATTTATATAGAAGTCTCCCATCAAAAAAGGTTTTTTTTTCTCCCCATTGCCCCTTGGTCTTGCCAAAGGTGGTTCAACAGCAACAAGGGTTCCGAATCTCATTATCTCATAATAGTAATGCAATCCACTTCCCCATAAGCAAGAATTAAAAGCCTCTTCAGCATTTCTCTCGTTACTTGCTTTGTGCCAAGGTACCCTGGGAAACTGTGAAGGATACACTGTGTTAAGTCTCACAGTGCGGAGAAACAACTCTTTGTTATTTCAACACAGTTTGATCTCTCCCTCACCCTCTGTTCCACTTTTTCTCGAAGGCTGCCAAGATTTTTTCAGCCCGTGCATGACTCTAAGGAAGCCAGGGAATGGTTCAGAGAATCTAAGGCACCAAATGTTTGTTGAGCAGTTGGAAACAATTGGCCTACTGTGGCGAATGTGAACATCTGCTCACCTCCTGCAGCCTAGACTCTCCCCAGTTCTTCCAAAATGTCAGCTTCCATCTTTCCAAGCATCCATACATGTTTCCCCTGCAATTTGCAGTGTGCACATTGCAGGGTTTGCGTGTTTCTCCTGCAATTTGCAACTCTCTCTGTGGTGTAAGAGAGTTGCTTTACAATGTCATACTAATTCCTTCACGTATGACAGACATGTCAAACACAAGGCCCGGGGGCTGGATGCAGACCGCGAAGTGGTTTCATGTGGCCCGCGAAGCCATTCTGGAAACAGTGAGGGAACGGCCCCTGCTGCCTTAGCCCTGGCCCAGGCTGACCGGGAGCCAATGTACAATTTTGTGGTGGCCATCTATGCTGAAACCCATTCAGACTTAGCTCCACAAGGCTGTCTGGAAACAACGAGGAACCAGCCCCTGCCGCATTGGCCCCGCCCCCTGGGTGCATGCTGGGGAGGTGTCACCCTTTATGAGGAATGAAGAAATGCACAATGCCTTGGCACTTGCCCCAGTCCTACCCCCTTCTGCCAGAGATCCTCATTTTGCCCATAACATGCAGGGTTTTATTTATTTACTTACTTAAAATATTTGTATAGTGTTTCCTAGTTTAAATATATATATATATAGATTCTCATCATTCTCACTACCTCTGCCTCACTTCCCCAGCCATGCATAATGCATAAACAGAGCAAATGGATTAAGATAAATCTAATCTGTTTACCTGTTTTGCTTTTTGCAGAAGATTTTTTTTTGAGCCTGCCTTTCTCCCCCTAATAATCTCAGTAGATTAAATCACTAGACTGTTTGAAAAGGAAAATTGGATTTATTTTGTTCAAAGTATAAGTTCCACTGTAAAAACACCTGTGTTGCATCACCCATGAGGTGGGAGTGTCTTTTCCAAAAGTATGCCTGTAAGGAAGGAGAAGGGTCATCTACGTATAAAATCAACTTCTTTTTCCTTTAAAGAAAGCTTGTTTTAATTTACTTCCTTTTTTTCCTGCCCTCTAGTGGCTATTTATGCTGGAATTCAAAGGCTCCATTTGCCCAAGGGAAGTGTTTCTCAACTTTGGCCACTTAAAAAATGGGTGGACTTCAACTCCATGCAAGCTGGGAATCCTAAGAGCTGAGATCCACTCATTTTCAAGTTGCCAAGGTTAAGAAATGAAGGTCTCATATTGGTTACATACACGCAAAATACTTAGATGGAGTTAGCATCTTTGGCTAGCAACTGTAGAAGCACAGGCAGAGGTAGGGTGGTGAGGGTGGGATGAGGGTGGAATTAAACAAGTCATCAGCCTTGAATCATTATGTGTCCACAAATACTCCAAGTCCAGCCGTCTCCTGACCTTTATTTGATGCCAATTTAGTGCTGAACTTTAATCAACTAGATTCTTGTGTATAGGCTTGGACAATATATCTTCTGAACTACAATATATTGTAGAGTGATTCTTTGAGCCTAATAGAAACGTTAAGAATGCTACGATACGGTATGCTTAAGTAATCCATCTAGCAGTTGCAAGCCTACTGGAAAAAAAAAAAACTACGTGGTGTAGCAGGAGGGAGACATCTACTTTATGGTCCTGCCATCATGGTTGACTTACAACCATTCATTTAGTGATCATTCGGAGTTATAATGACACTGGGGGGGGGAAGTGACATGATTATTTTTCCTATTTACCCCTGTTGCAGCATCCTCATGGTCATCTGATCAAAATTCAGACGCTTGGCAACTGATTCATATTTATTCATATTTCATGTGATCACCTCTTGTGATCTTCTGACAAGCAAAGCTGGGGGGGCACCAGCTTTCCCTTAACAACCCTGTTATTAATTTATCAACTGCACTGATGCTCTTAACAACTGTGGCAAAAAAGGTTGTAACATAGGGCAAAGTTCACTTAACAACTGTTTTGCTTAACCACAGAAAGTTGGGGCTCTATAAGCTGAGGACTCAATTCCTGGCAAATAGATGGGGAAAAAATGGAGGTAGTGACAGATTTTATCTTCCTGGGCTCCAAGATCACCGCAGATGAGGACTGCAGCCAAGAAATTAAAAGATGCTTGCTCCTGGGGAGGAAAGCTATGGCAAATCTAGACAGCATACTAAAAAGCAGAGACATCACCCTGCCAACAAAAGTGCGTATAGTCCAGGCCATGGTTTTCCCAGTTGCAATGTATGGCTGTGAAAGATGGACCATAAGAAAGGCTGAGCGCAAAAGAATTGAGGCCTTTGAACTATGGTGCTGGAGAAGACTCCTGCGAGTCCCTTGGACTGCAAGGCGTTCAAACCGGTCAGTCCTAGAGGAGATCAACCCTGACTGCTCTTTAGAAGGCCAGATCCTGAAGTTGAAACTCAAGTACTTTGGCCACCTAATGAGAAGGAAGGACTCACTGGAAAAGAGCCTAATGCTGGGAAAGATTGAGGGCAATAGAAGAAGGGGACGACAGAGAATGAGGTGGCTGGATGGAGTCACTGAAGCAGTAGGCGTGAGCTTCAATGGACTCCAGAAGATGGTAGAGGACAGGAAGGCCTGGAGGAACGTTGTCCACGGGGTCACACAACTTCGCAACTAACAACAACAAAGCTGAGGACCATCTGTACTGTTTTTTTTAATATATTTTATTGGTTTTTTAATTTTAACAAAAAGTATTTAAGTATTTAAAATATTTAAGACATACCGTGGTGTTTGGGTAAACAAACATTCCAAGGGGGAAAAAAAACATACAAAAACAGCTCAACTTAATACATTCACTATCATCTCTCTATTTCTCACAGATAACATAATAGATTTAATATATTCTGTTTCTAGCTTAAGTTTCTATTACTACTCAACCTGTTTTAAAGCTTTATCAATTTAGAATTACCATAATCAAATATTGTTTTGAGTACTAAGCTCATGTTTAAATGCACTCAGCCCAAACCACCAAGCCCAAAAGGGCAGCATAGTTTTGGCATGCAGTCTCCTACGGCTGTACACTCTACCTTTACATGCCAATCAGCTGCTATGGTACCTGCTACACTGTGCAATGGAGATAGACAGGTGGGTCCCCAGATAGGTGAAAAAAGGTGTTCCTGAAGATACCAAGAGTTTAATTTAATTGAAGGAGGTATGAAAGGTATGGCGTTTCTTGCCAACAACAGTCTTAAAACTTAGGTTCAAATGAGTTGGCCGGAGACCAATTCTGGGGGTGAAAAGCAATGGAGAGGTTTTCCAAGAAGTTTAGTTCTGCGAATTAAGTATGCTTCTGAAGCGCGCAAGAGGTGTTTAATCATTGCTCCGTTCCAAAAGTTTCAATGCAATAATTTAACAGAGGCCAAATAAGTTTGAATGTGATACTTTTCACCCTGATGAATGGGGAAACGAAACAATGAAGTTCACAGTGGCCTTTGGGAGGCAGCCCGCTCGGTGTTGTGTGCTTGCAAACAGACCATGATTGTTACGAGGAGACCGTTACGATTTGTGGCCCCAGCTTGCCTCGAGGCTATGATTAGCAGAATGTGCTCCTCAAGGTCTCTTGGCGAGTGTGTGGTTGCGGTGAAACGCCAGGACCAACAAGGTTGATTTTCAAGCAAGTTGTATCACATTTTTCCCCCAACTTTTCATAGTGGAACATTTAATTCTCCGATCCTTCTGGAAAGTTCAGGGAAGAGAGAAAACAAACAAAAGAACAAAAGATACAATAATAAGGTAGTTAAGTTTCAATTTTCCATCCTGTTTTATTTACTTAATGTGTTTCTGTGTTGCAGTTTGCAACAGATTTTAAAACAACAACAGCAATAAAAATAACAACAAAAACAAAAACATCTATCATCCATCCCAGATCCATAGGAAAGACTCTACAGGTGGATAAAAATGCCAGATCCAGTCTAAGCATATGATCAACCATAATAATAACAATAAAAATATAAACAATTTAAAACCTATTGTTGTCTCTCAAATGTTGGATACTGAAAGGAATTTCCCACAGCTGAGCATGCCTGTGGGAAGAGATTAACTGGGCTGGCAGTGGATAACCAAATTCCAAAGTATGATCTTCTATTGAAACTGGCTTAGTAGCAAAGGCAATTGTTTCAGTCATGGAGTAACACGTGCAGGCCAGATATTACAACATTTAGATCAAGGACAAAGATAACCATTTATCTAGAGTATGAAAAATGAAGGTAAGTCACCCTTAAGTGAACCTCAGTTCCTAAAGACTGGCTAGATCTATGCGAGCCTTTCTCTTAGATGTTTTCTTTAAATTTCAGTCTAGTCTATTAATCTGGGACTTCCTCTTGGTCTCCCATCCCAGTACTAACCAAGTTCAACCTTGAGTAGCTGTTTCAAGTTTGGTCCTGTTCAGTCTCTATTTGCTATGACCTAGAAAGCATTACAGTAGTCTCAATGTAAACTTACCGACATGGAAGCAACTGTGTTTACACCATTTATATATATAAATGTATATAAATATAAATAGATATAGATATATACAATAAACTATTCTAGAAAGATAGCGTGATGTGCTGCAAAAATCCTCCCAATCACATTATAATATCTGTGTTTCTTTGCTACTGTTTAATGATTGTTTGTACTATAGCTTAGCAAGAGAGATGGACCAGAGAGTAAGATACTATCTGCTCAGTTATTGTTTAGTTGAAGCTGTGAATATGATTAATGAGTAGATTCTTTAGTGTTAACCATTACACCAGGGGTGTCAAACTCAATTTCATTGAGGGCCACATCAGCATTGCGGTTGCCCTCAGGGGGCCGGGTGGGTGTGGCCAAGGTGGGTGCAGCCTACTGGGTGGGCGTGGATGGAGCGGGTGTGGCCAGCTCTACATCATTCGCGTAAAGGGTGCCTGTGGGGGCCTGGGCAGGAGTGGGAGAGATCTGAGGGTCTCTGGCAGAAGGGGGTGGGACCGGGGCAAGCACCAAGGCACGGTCCATTTCTTCATTCCTCACAAAGGGTGACACCTCCCCAGCATGCACCCAGCGGGCAAGTGCCAAGGCATGGTCCACTGGAGGAGCCTCACTGTTCCTCTCAGGCCATGCAGGGGGAGGGCTTATGGAGCTAAGACTGAATGCGTTTCAGCATAGATGGCCACCACAAAATTGTACATTGGCTCCCGGCCAGCCTGGGGCAGGGCCAAGCAGTGGGGGCTGTTCCCTCACTGTTTCCAGGATGGCTTCGCGAGCCACATGAAACCACTTCGCGGGCCGCATCCGGCCCCCAGGCCTTGTGTTTGGCATGTCTGCATTACACTATCAATAAGAAAATAAAGCGAGCTGCTCACAGGCCATTTTAGGTGATAATCGGTGATTATCCAGGTTAACCAGTAAGCTCTCTGTTATGGTAAGGGTTGAAAGGGTTGAAAGTAGTTGATTTCTGGCCTATAGTGTGAAATATTAAACTGACTGTCTTATGTTTGCATCTGAAAACATTCAGATAATGAAGGGAAACATCCAGGTATTTTTTAAAATACAAGTGGTCTCCGACTTAGGACCACAATTGAACCCAAAATTCATGTTGCTAAGTGAGACAGTTGTTCAATGAGTTTTGCCTCATTTTACAACCTTTCTTGCCACAGCTGTTAAGTGAATCATTGCAGTTGTTAAGTGAGTAACAGGATTATTAAGTGACTCTGGCTTCCCCCTCATTGGCTTTGCTTGTCAGAAGGTCGCAAAAGGAGATCACGTGACCCCTGAGGACACTGCAACCATCATAGATACATGCCAGTTGCCAAGCGTCCGAATTTCAGCCACGTGACCCCGGGGATCCTGCAACGATTGTTAAGTAGGAAAAATGGTCCTCGGTTACTTTTTCAGTGCCGTTGTAACTTCGAACAATCACTAAATGAATGGTTTGTAGGTCAAGGACCACCTGTACGGAAGAACGAAGTTTGCAAAGGCAGCAGGTATTTCTGGTATCAGATTCCACTCATCAACTTGGTCTCTCTTTCTTCTCAAAGCAGCAAAACTGGAATACAGAATCAGGATCCAGAATGTTTCCATCTGGTGGAAAATGGCTTTTGTAGTCCTGGAACCAAGCTGTTCTTTGCCATTTCCAAATGCCAGTTTAGACAAATGATTTCATACGCATTGAATAGAGCTTTTCTTGTACCAGGGGTTATCTGGAGTATGCTATTGTCTTGAAAAGTTCATGTTCCATGTAGACAAATATGAAAAGGACAGATCCTCCATAATCGGAATGCAATTATCCGGATTGGTTTCTTTCCCTGTAGTGTTTGCTGTGGTGTGCTTGCCGAGGGTGCTCAAAAATGGCACTCAAAAGTGGGCCTTTCAAAGCAGATTTTAGATCGGGTAAGTATAAAATTGGAAGAAATTGGGAAGACTGGGAAAGAATTTGGAATAAAAATCACAAAATAACAAAATCCGCTGCATATAAGGAAAATCAATATAAAATGCTATGTCATTGGCACCTAGCCCCTGCAAGATTAGCCAAAATGTATCCGAACCAAAGCCCAATGTCAACGCTGCAAATATTGTATATTCTTGCTTTTGACAATATGCAGAATTGTCTGGTAAATATGGGGTTAATAAAGAGCAGAAGGGGCGTTGGGGGTAAAGCCCGGGAAAGAAAGAGGAAGAAAACATTTGACTTTCACACTAATTGGATAGTGTGAGATATGACGGCTAATTTAGGGAGAGAACTTAGATCCTAGCATCCCTCCCTTGTGCCTGTGCCGACATTTTGTAACAATAAAAGACTTTTAGGAAAATAAATGCCTGGAAGTTCTTTGGAATGTTTCATTAGCCAGAACCACAACACCCAAATTGTTGGAAATGTAATTATCATCAAGGTACCTTCTTTCATGCTTGGTGGCTATGCCCTGAAGCGAAAAAATATTGGATTAAAATACAAGGGTGGCTACAAGACTTAACAAAATGTCAAATCGAATTAAATCCGGAAACATTTCTCCTGGGAATACTTAAAAAGAAATTTGATAAAAAAATAAGATATCTGATTTTACATATACTAACTGCAGCAAGAATTGCATTTGCGCAATATTGGAAGGAACGCAATATACCACCAGAGGGGTTGATTATTCAGAAAATTTATGAATGTGCCGAGATGGACAAACCTTAGAATTAAAAGAAAAAGATGGTTGGGAATTTTATGAGGTTTGGGAAAATTGGTATATTTGGATAGACAATAGAAACAAAAACTGGAAATATACATAAGATTATTGTGCAAATTAGGTTAGTGTGGGTTAGATTGAATGTACATAGTGTATATATTGTATAGAGTGTAGATCCATAGTATATAAAAATGACATAGTCTGCTGAATATGTACTGTATAAAGGAAAATGTTAATAAATTATTTTTTTAAAAAAATTGGAAGAATACTTGCTGTGCAACTTTCAGCCCCCACGGATGGCCTACAGTCTACACATTGAAAGCCATAGCATCCCAACTTTGTTAGCCGATTGCTGCTATCTTTTGGATCAAACTAGGTTTAACAATTTTGAGAAGCATTACCTAACTAATTTATCTAAGATGCTAGGACAGTGGTTCTCAACCTTTTTAATGCCGCGATCCCCAACCGGTCATAAGTCGAGGACTACCCAACCGGTTGTAAGTCGAGGACTACCCAACTGGTCGTAAGTTGAGGACTTTCCCTGCCCGGGAGTGCCGCGCATGCATGGTGCCGCCCCCTGCGCCAGCCGAGGCGTAGCTGGCAAGCGGCAGAGACGGAGCAGGCCAACCACCAGCTGGGCCACCAGCTGGCCCAGCCCAAGGGAGGTAAGGCACCCACAGGGCCCCACGCACGCCAGCAACCCTCCCTGCGCCCGCCGGCCTCCCACCTCCCACCCCTGGCCCTCTTTTGCTTACATTTTTAGTAGTTGCTCAGACAACTTGCAGCACCGTTTGCAGAATGGGACTTTTTGGCGGGCTCAGCAGGACAGAGACAGCCTGGACAATTCCTATTGGCTTTTGAAAGCCAATAGAATTAGACTCTATTCAAGAGAGTCTATTCTATTGGCTTTCAAAAGCCAATAGAATAAAAGGGAGTAGCACAGCTAAGGAAAAGGGGGGAAAATGGCGGACTATGTTGTTTGGCGACCCCTGTGAAATGATCGTTAGACCCCAAATGGGGTCCCAACCAACAGGTTGAGAACCACTGTGCTAGGATAACCTGTAGGAGCAAACAAGAATAGTTCCTCAGAAGAAATACCCATCGTCTTGTACTGATGTCATTTAGACCACCAATCAGGGAAGTAGAAAGATAACGGTTTCCCCTGTCCAGTCATATTTGACTCTAGGGGGCAATGATCGCCTCCATTTCTTAGCCAAGGGAGCCAGCATTGTCCAAATACATTTTCTGTGGCCAGCGTGACTATATGCCAGGGCGCACGGAACACTGTTACCTTCCCAATGAAGTGGTACCTATTAATCTACTCGCATTCGCATGCTTTCAAACAGCTAGGTAGGCAGGAGCTGGAGCAGGAACAGGAGCTCAACCCATCGTGTATCACTTGGCTCTTGAACCTAAGCTGCCAGCTTTCCAGCCCCAAGCTCAGCGTCTTTAACCGCTGAGCCATTGTGTCCCTACAGAATACTGTCATCTAAAACAGTGATGGCAAACCTTTTAGAGATCGAGTGCCCAAAACCCACCCCGCCCCCAGCCCATCCCCACTCCGCTTGCCTGCAGGGCCACTCACCACTTCCACGGCTTGCTGCAGCAGATCGCAGCAGATCTGCCATGGCAGCCACACCCTCCGCCTGCACCCCTCAGCATCATCTGCACATGATGGGGTGCAAGGGCAGAGTCTTGTCCCTGGTGCCTGGCTGCCATGTCTTTGGCTGCGCTGCTCCACACGGGCCGTGCCTGGGGCAGAGTCTCCTCCAGGGGACTGCTGGTGAGGAGGGGGCTGTGGGGGAAGGCAGGGCTGGGGCAATGGCTCATGTGCCCACAGTGATGGCTCCAAGTGTCACCGCTGGCACGTGTGCCATAGGTTCACCACCACTGGTCTAGAACAATTGGTAAGCACCAGATTGAGAGAAGCTGATAGATTATGTAACAGCTTTGCCATATCTTCTATTTAATCATCTATTATTTAATTATGAACATTACTGATTATATGTCTTCTTCAGCGTCTTCCACTATCCTGGAACTTGGAAATAATTCAGAAATAATCTGGAGTTCTCTATTTTTTTTTCTTCCTCCTGGAGCTTCAAGAGAGAAGGTTAACAGCTTATTTTAATCATCATTATTCAATCTGGTCTTAAAATGAATTCATACACCAGCTAGATTTTTTTTTTTTGTTGCTATTTGGAACCTTTAAGTGACTTGGAAAGTTAGGAGGATCATATTCATCTAAAGCAGTGGTTCTCAACCTTTTTAATGCCGCGACCCCCAACTGGTCGTAAGTCGAGGACTACTCAACCGGTCGTAAGTCGAGGACTACTCAACTGGTGCAGCACCGTTTGCAGAATGGACTTTTGGCGGGCTCAGCAGGGCAGAGACAGCCTGGACAATTCCTATTGGCTTTTGAAAGCCAATAGAATTAGACTATATTCAAGAGAGTCTCTTCTATTGGCTTTCAAAAGCCAATAGAATAAAAGGGAGTAGCACAGCTAAGGAAAAGGGGGGAAAAAATGGCAGACTGCGTTGTTTGGCGACCCCCGTGAAATGGTCGTTCGACCCCAAATGGGGTCCCGACCCACAGGTTGAGAACCACTGATCTAAAGTGTTAAGCTTAATTCATGCAACGTGAATTAATTTTCTGCCATGAGTCTCTATGCTGTTTTCTAATCACTGGATTCCTTGAAGGTTTTAAGCATGATGCACATACAGTTTCTTTAGGGCTAACAGATCTGGACAGATTCCTAAGAGACAACACAGACCTGATGGCACATAATTTTTTGAGAAAAACATCTCGATTGCTAAAATCCAAAGGATCAGTAGGTGGTTTGAACCTTCAGACCATCAGTTGAGCTTTCAAACTTTCAGTACCTTCTTTGGTGTCATGCAGCAGTCACTTTCAATGGTGACCTGAAGCTGTCTTTCAAGGGTAGCACTCACTATATGGTGCCATGCGGCAGATATTTTCAATCCAGATCAATTTTTCTCAACCTTGGCAGATTCAACTCCAAGATTTTTGGAAGGTCTGGGTGTAGAAGTTCAGCCGTCTGAAAACTGAGGACAAGCAGATAGATGGTCATCTGTTCTTCACTAAGGCACAATTCTTTCAGGCGATCATTACTCCTTGAGTGCAAAAAATACCCAGTGGAAGAGGTTGATTTTCATTTTTACAACAGCAACAACAACAACAACAATAATAAGTTGGAAGGGACCTTGGAGGTCATCTAGTCCAACCCCCTGCTCAGGCAGGAAACCCTACACCATTTCAGACAAATGGCTGTCCAGTCTCTTCTTAAAAACTTCCAGTGTTGGAGCATTCACCGCTTCTAGAGGCAGGTTGTTCCACTGGTTAATTGTTCTCACTGTCAGGAAGTTTCTCCTTAGTTCTAGGTTGCTTCTCGCCTTGATTAGTTTCCATCCGTACCTTCTTGTCCTGCCTTCAGGTGTTTTGGAGAACAGCTTGACTCCCTCATCTTTGGGGCAGCCCCTGAGATATTGGAACACTGCTATCATGTCCCCCCTCGTCCTTCTCTTCGTTAAACTAGACATACCCAATTCCAGCAACTGTTCCTTATATGTTTTAGCCTCCAGTCCCCTAATCATCTTGTTGCTCTTCTCTGTACTCAACATCTTTTTTACATCGTGGTGACCAAAACTGGATGCAGTATTCCAAGTGTGGCCTTACCAAGGCATTGTAAAGTGGTATTAACACTTCACCTGATCTTGATTCTATCCCTCTGTTAATGCAGCCTAGCCCTGTGTTGGCTTTTTTGGCAGCTGCAGCACACTGTTGGCTCAGATCTAAGTGATTGTCCACTAGGACTCCGAGATCCCTCTCAAGGTTGCTACTATTGAGCAAGGTACCCCCTATACTATACCTGTACATTTGCTTTTTCTTGCCTAAATGTAGCACCTTACTTTTTTTCTAAAGAAGTCAATTATTTACAAACAAAAACCTGGCCCTGAATGCAGCAACTGCAGGCAAAATGCCCATTTATTAATAAAGCAAACAATCGCAGTTCACCTTATAAATCTGCCCGGTTGGTTTGCTCTCCTGGAAAGGATGGAAATAATTGAAAGGAAAAAAAAAAGCAAGGGGAAATTAGTGCCCTGCATTAGCTCTCCACCTTCCAAAGGAGGCTGATCCCTGAACACGCACATGATTTGGCTGCTTGCCTTAGGGGATTGAAGAGTTCACATCTGCCAGACGGAACAGTAAGTTTTCTCTCTTTTAGTTGGGATCATCTCCTCAGCTTTCCTTTGCTTTACCTTCCTTAGCTGGGTGGGAGGATGCTTGGTGGGGATCCTTTAACCCTTTAGGGGATCTTGTGCTAGAAATCCCACCTCCCCACCCCCCAAATAATTCTAGAACAAAAGAAATGGTTTTGAACGAATTGGAACCTAAGGGCATGTAATGTAATCTTCTGGCATAACTAAAGAAAAACAAATCTGTTTTTTTTAGTAAGTTAATGAACTGCTGCAAAGTTTCTTAGCTTTTTTTTCCTTCTGCATTCTGGCAACTGCAACTTTAGTTAATAAGAAATAAGGGGAATGGCTGGCTTAGAGTTGAACCACTGGTATTCAAGGGATTTGAGTCTAAATGAAATGTTACTGATTCTGATGGGGAGGTTTAAGTAGCTATTACGATTTATAGCTGGCCTTTCTCTCCATAACTGAAACTGCCCCGCGTTTCATAATGGAAACAGAGTAGGACCTACTGGACCGTTCCAGGTGTGGTGGCTTTTTCTTAAAGCTTGGTTGGTCCTTACATACCTGAGAAAATCTCGTTTCCCAGATCAAGTTGCTGACACCTCGTATCAACCTGTTTCTTAAGGAGGTAAATTCCACCCGTAGCCATATCTGTAACCCGCGGTGAAATTGGAGATGCCAAGAAAAAAAGGGGACTTCTTGGTGGTGATTGTGATCCTTCTTGAGAAAGATTGCCTGTTGGCAACAGTGCCATGTTTTGGCAGAGTTGAGATGCTTGTTAAAAAAGAATAATAGGTTTTAACAATACATAAGGAAGTATATATATATATCCGCTGGCTATGGAAGTTGCATTAAGCTGCTCCTACTCATAGGAGATCTCATCGCCTGGGTAGATTTATCCCATCTTATGAAAGTGAGCGTTCCGGAAAAATGACCGAAACTTCCAAGTTTACCCAAAAGAGGGCATGGTTCATATTTGTTGTCCTGGAAATTGGCTGTGAAGCCATTTTAAAAATGAACTTGGAGACCTCATAGAGCTTAGAGATTAAGAGGGCTTGGGGGTTACGTGGAGAGCCGGGGGAAGGGTACAATGACGTAAACAGCATCAGGCCATTGTAAAACTATCCTGACCCTTTTCATGGATATGGTGACATCATATATCTGCCCAGCGTTATTCTGTGGTAAGATGGGCAGCCAATAAGTTTGATAGATGGATGGATGGATGGGTAAATGGATGGGCGGGCGGGCGGGCGGGTGGGCGGATGGATGGATGGGTGGGTGGGTGGGTGGGTGGATGGATGGATAGATAGATAGACAGACAGACAGACAGAAAGACAAATAGACAGAGATAGATAGATAGATAGATAGATAGATAGATAGATAGATAGATAGATAGATAGATAGATAGACTGATATACATATATACATACATAATACATACATACATGCCTATATAAGGGACAAAACATATCCAGCAATGTGTTGCTCCTTTTTTCACTTTCACAAAAGTAGCAAGGTCCTGCAGACAACCACAAAAGTTATCTAGACCACTGTCCTCTGCAAGATCTTCAGAGTATGAGATTCCTTTGATGTACAGCTGCTCACTACTCAAGTCCTCCCGTGGGACATTTTCAGGTTGAGAAGTTTGAGCAGCCAGAGAGTTACTGAATCGTAGAGATGGAAAGGACCGTAAGATTAGCAAGTCCAACTCTCAGAGCTTCTGAGCAATGGACACATGAGTAATGGAAAACAGCCTTCTGACACCTCCAGCAACAAGCTCTGAAAACACCATCAAGATAAATCTGAATTTCCTAAGACTTAAGGTAAGGAAACAAGTCCCAAGGGGGAAGAGAAATTTTTAGAAAGAGAGGGGGTAGTCTTTAGCTCGGCATTAATTCTATCATCTCTAGTGAAGGAGGCCTTATCTTTTTTTGAGGGCATTTGTTCCACCTTTACCAACATTTAACCAAAGCAGTTTTCCTCCCAGGTGCTCTTATGGGAGCAGAAACAGAATAACATGTCTCTGTAACTCAGAAGACTTGGGAGGAGCCCGAAACCTGACAAAAATGTTCTGCCTTTATCTAAGGAGGTCAGATTCTCTAGAAGGTGGATCTTCAGCCAGAGATAACACACAAAGTGGAGGCTATGTTTAACAACCAAGGTTTGCCCAAACACATTCCATGTGGTTTGCATATTGTTTGACGTTAGCCACATTAAATACTTGTTAATCTGATGTGGTCATTGGCTCAGGGCCCCAAGATGGAAGGTTGGACCTTTCCATATCCACGTGGATTTTACAGAAGAGATAAACATTGGGATTGTCTGGGTGGAGAGAGAGAGAGAGAGAGACTCATAAAATTAATCCAGGATTAGGTAACACAGGGACTTGATGAAAAGGAGGATCTAACTGGGATTTGGGTTACTTTTCAACTTGGGAATCCAATACTGAGGTGTGTTCATGGACAGCTTCCTTTGCTCACTTTTATGAAAAAGTAAGTCCCACTGAACTTTGGCTGTTGGATGGTTATAAAAAAAGGGGTATGAGAATATTTTTAATGATGACACTACAAAATTATGGAATTCTGCTTTAAACAGGAATTCCTGTAGTCCATTCTGTAATCCACTTTTATTTCAGAACTGAGGTCAGCATTTTATATAGTTTTTCTTCAGGAGATAGATGAAGGATTGGGCTATCAAGCTGCAAACCTATACATGCATCTTAAAGTTTGCTTTAAATTAAATTTGGCTCCATGTGTCTTAAGAGACATGTTCATGGAGCCTTCTTAGCAGCAGTGTAGAAATGGTCTGTCACTGTCTTTGCCAGGATAGTTTTTTCAGCTTCCTGGTGTTGCCTTCATCTCTGTGGTTCCTTAGTGGTCTCTCATTAGGGTTGACCCTACTTCGTTTCCAAGGTCAGCCAGATAATAATCCATGGTATTGGTGGACAGACAGTTGATGACCCCATGCTCCTAATGCCTTAAACCCTATCCTACTAGGTTTTTGCAAAGTTCAGATTGGGAAGATATACACGCAGGCTGGGAAGATATAAATGTAATTCTCAAGATTCACCATGATTGATCTGCTGTCTAAGGTTGCAAAGAGTTCATTAGTATTGTGTATCCTTCCTTCCTTCCTTCCTTCCTTCCTTTTTTCCTTCCCATTCCACCCCACCTCACCCCACCCTACCCCACTCTTCAGTGACATCATGGTACATTTCAGTGGCCGGCATGAAAAGATGCTATTTTAATCAACTAGTGCAAGCAATACTCAGCCTGGGGTAGGCAAGCCGAGGACCATAGCTAGCCTTTGAGTTGTGAGCTGGGGCTTTGCTGCACAAAATGTGGCCCTATCTCACTTACTTTGAATTAATTTTGATTTTAACATAGCTAGTATACTTAATTATTTAGCACCTTCTTCACATTAATAGTTATAAATTAGGAGCAATTTGTTGTGGGAATGGAGAGGGTCACTCTTAAAAACTGCATACAATCATGGAAAAGAACTCAGCTATTTATCTGTAATATAGAGATTCTTATTTGCTGTCAATTCATGTATATAATTTTCTCTGTGTAATTCGTTATTGTTCTGAAACACTGTCTGGTCACCAAATAGAGCTTTCAAGACAATTGTTTTAGATTAGAAACCACGATTTAGTACTTGAAATATTTAAAGTACTTAAAGTACTTCCTGATTTAGTACTTAAAATAAACCTGTTGAACAATACGACAATATGCATATTAGTACCTTTTAAAAATAACTTTTTCACATAAGTAAAAGGGAAACATGAAATGATATAGAGTGGAATTAATAAAGAAAGATAAAGAAGTAGAAAAGATAGTGCTGGGGGGGAAAAGCAAAGAGAACAGAAACAAAAAAGATATATAAAGGAGCAGCTTCCAATCTTCTTTATAGCAATTACAAACAATTGATTATCTCGCCTTCCGCTTTAAAGTTACAACATGGTTCTGTATGTGGACTAATATCACTTAAGCCAGGCATGTCAAACTGACGGCTGATGGGCAGGATTTGTCACGCTGAAACCGCGTCTACCCCATTGCCAGCAATGGGGAAAAAGTCCCGATACGTCGTGCGATGTCACATGACGTCATGGGTTGGACATGCCTGACTTAAGCCAAGGGTCTTCAAACCTGGCACTTTTATGACTTGTGGACTTCAACTCCCAGAATTCTTCAGCCAGGCACGCTGGCTGAGGAATTCTGCAAGTCCACAAGTCATAAAAGGGCCAAGTTTGAAGACCCCTGGCTTAAGCTTAGGAGATGGAAGGTTAAGAATTGAAAAAAGGAACAGGTGTTGAAAGCAATAGGATATTATGGAAACACAGGGCTTAGGAGAAGACTCGATTTTTATCATGAGATTATAGGATGATCCTTTGAGTTTAGGATTAGCTCTATAGGCCGGAAATTCCCAATCAAAACAAATAACAGAATAATAGAACAACAGAACAACAGAGTGGGAAGGATCCAATCTAGAAATTTCACTTATACTTTGATCACCAAACAGAAAAGTCTGTGTTTTCAGTCTAGATCAACACCATGGATGGGAAAACAGCCTCACAGAAAGCAAAAGAAAATCCATTTGTCTTGGATAAAACCTTTGGATCACATCCTACGAAGGTTGCATCTTTCTCTCTTTCCAAGTTAAAGGTAATAGCTCTCCTCCTCCTTCTCTCCAGTTTTCTCTTCCATGAATCCCTGAACAGCATCCCACAAAGGCTGAGCCTCTTTCTATTCTGAAATTAAATGACTTCCTTTTGCTCTTTTCTCTGCAATAAATCCTCAGGTCACATCCAGTGAAGGCTACACCCTTTCTGTTTCAAAGCTGAAAGCCATAGCTCTGCCACTTTCTTTGGAGAGTTGAAAAATATGCATACGATTCACGTTTAAAAAAATCACAGGGTAAAATCTACAGTCAAAAGTCTGGTAATAGTTTTTCCAACTAACTCACCAATGTTATAAGTTCCAAGCTCCTTCCCTAAAATCATGTAATTGGATTTTGGGTGAAGGTCCACATTTACAGCCTTTTGCAGCATCCATGCAACATGACTATGATTTATAACATATTTCGCTGGAAATGGGCATTTAAACACCCATTCTGAACAGGGGATTCATTTAATGACTGTGGTCTTTGCTTTATGAGCACTGCATTTGCTTTATGATCCCTGCGTTCACTTAATGATTGCCACAAAAAAAAAGGTTGTAAGATCAGGCATAGTCACGTGGTGTCCTGCTTAATGGCTGTCATGACTTAGAACAGTGGTTCTTAACCTGTGGGTCGGGACCCCATTTGGGGTCGAACGACCATTTCACGGGGGTCGCCAAACAATGCAGTCCGCAATTTTTTTCCCCTTTTCCTTAGCTGTGCTACTCCCTTTTATTCTATTGGCTTTTGAAAGCCAATAGAATTGACTCTTTTGAATAGAGTAATTCTATTGGCTTTCAAAAGCCAATAGGAATTGTCCAGGCTGTCTCTGCCCTGCTGAGCCCGCCAAAAGTCCCATTCTGCAAACTGTGCTGCACCAGTTGGGTAGTCCTCGACTTACGACCGGTTGAGTAGTCCTCGACTTACGACTGGTTGGGGGTCGCGGCATTAAAAAGGTTGAGAACCACTGACTTAGAAGCATAATTATTGAGTCAGTTATGGTTGTACGTTGAGGACTATCTGTAATATCAGTCCAACCTATATGATCGTTCTAGGAAAAGGTCTTTGTAGTTTCCCACTTTGGGGAGGAGTGGGGGATGCAAGGCCAGGAAGCCCTTCGTGGTGGGAGGTTTTTGGAACAGCCTCCTGGTGGAAATTAGGTTGTGTCCACCCTAACTATGTTCTGCAAACAACTTAAAACTCTGTTTTTGCTCTTTTCCTTTGAAGACTGATCGTGCGCATTGTTTATTTTATTGTTTTAGTTTTCAATTTTTAATTTTTACCATGGGCATTTTGCTGGCCCACGGCCCTTTGACCGGATAGTAAAAATGCTCTCTATGGTGTTAAAGATGTGAGATACCTCTAGCAACTTTCTAGCAACACCTCCTTTGCCAGCTCACTGTTTGAATCTCTGTTTTCATCTTAGATATTTCTTGGAGCGCTGGCATTTTCTTTTTTTGCCAAAGCTTTTTCAGGAAGCTACATGAAGAGCATGATGACTCAGATTGAGCGGAGATTCGAGATCTCATCGTCGGTGGTTGGCTTGATTGATGGGAGCTTTGAGATAGGTAGGTTGACTCATGCTGGGGTGCAGAAGTTACAGGTTGGCCAGAGAAGGCCTTCCTTCTGGCATCCACAAGCAATTCCATCAACAAACACATGGACCTACAACCAGCGTACAAACCCCTCAGAATCCAATCAACCACACACCGACCCTCAACCAACCCACGCAAGCCCCCTCCCCCTACCACCACAGCAGTTCACGTCCCAATGATTCTGACCAGATGTAACCTCCCCATAACAACACCCATCACCAGCCTCTCACTAAAGACTCACACCTGTCCCATCACAAGACCCTCACTTAACACACCCACACCTAAAGCCTTTCTAAACAGACGAACACTGACATCCTAAATCAGGGGCCTTCAAACTTGGCACTTTTATGACTTGTGGACTTCAACTCCCAGAATTCCTCAGCCAGGCACACCTGGCTGAGGAATTCTGGAAGTTGAAGTCCACAAGTCATAAAAGGCCAAGTTTGAAGACCCCTGCCCTAAATACTGATGGTGTTACCTAGCCTGGTAATAAAACATTCAGAAACCCTCCCACAAGCTCGGAGAATGAACTTTCACCCTCATCCTACACCTGAGCGACAGATATTCGCCACTATCACAGGTCTTCCTTTCCCTGAGAGGGCTGTTCACGTCTCTTCTTCTGATTTTAGGAAACTTACTGATCATGGTTCTGGTGAGCTATCTTGGACCAAGAGTTCACCGCCCCAAAGTGATTGCAACAGGTTCTCTAATTATGGCCTTTGGATCCTTTCTATCAGCAATGCCACACTTTATCATGGGACAGTAAGTACAGTTTGTTTGACTTGCAAAAAACGTCTCGTTCTACCTCAAAAGCTACAGTTAGATCACCTGAGTCAATCTGAGGAACAGTGGGTTTTTCGTTTTTGTTGCTTCTTTCTCTTTTAGGTGAATTGAGGTGTGAACTGTTGTACGGATCCAGCCGGTTGGGTTACTTTCTAATTAAAGACAACATGTGCTTTGTGTGTGGTTCCTGGAATAACTGACTTTCTTATTTTGCAAAATTCAGTTAATCAGAAACTAAACAGGGCAGGATTTGGACAAAATGGTAAAATATGCACAAGGCCTAATCAAAGACTAGGCAAGAAAAAACAAATGCACAAGTACAGCATAGGTGGCACCATGCTCAATAGTAGTAACTGTTAGAGGGACCTCGGAGTCCTAGTAGACAATCACCTAAATATGAGCCAGCAGTGTGCTGCAGCTGCCAAAAAGGCCAACACAGTGCTAGGCTGCATTAACAGAGGGATAGAATCAAGATCACGTGAAGTATTAATACCACTTTACAATGCCTTGGTAAGGCCACACTTGGAATACTGCATCCAGTTTTGGTCACCACGATGTAAAAAAGATGTTGAGACTCTAGAAAGAGTACAGAGAAGAGCAACAAAGATGATTAGGGGACTGGAGGCTAAAACATATAAGGAACGGTTGCTGGAATTGGGTATGTCTAGTTTAACGAAGAGAAGGACAAGGGGGGATATGATAGCAGTATTCCAATATCTCAGGGGCTGCCATAAAGAAGAGGGAATTAAGCTATTTTCCAAAGCACCTGAAGGCAGGACAAGAAGCAACGGGTGGAAACTAATCAAGGAGAGAAGCAACCTAGAACTAAGGAGAAACTTCCTGACAGTGAGAACAATTAATCAGTGGAACAGCCTGCCTCCAGAAGCAGTAAATGCTCCAACACTGGAAGTTTTTAAGAAGAGACTGGACAGCCATTTGGCCGAAATGGTGTAGGGTTTCCTGCCTGAGCAGGGGGTTGGACTAGATGACCTCCAAGGTCCCTTCCAACTTTACTACTATTATTATTATTATTAAGACTAGCCAGCGTTAGAACCAATCAGGTTTCTAGATCTTCAATAAATCTTTAATGGACCTGTTACATTGTGAATAGAGTTATAATATGTTAGGAGCCAGAAAATAGGTAAATCCAGTACTGAAATTAAATGGATGGTATGAATCTAGCCATACTGAGACATATCTCATAACTTCCATTGTTCTCCAGTGGTCTACAGGTTGAGCCACTAGGCTAGAGAGTGAGAGACCATGAGTTCAAGTCCCTCCTTCACTAAAAAAACCAGCCGGGTTATTTTGGGCCAGTCCCTCTCTCTCTCTCTCTGTCAGTTCAATCCACCTCACAGGGTTGTTGTGGGGAAAATAGGAGGAGGAAGATATGTTGGATACGCTCACTGCCTTGAGTTATTTGTAAAAGTAATAAAGGCAGTGTTGAGTCCGTGGCGGGAAAACAGACACGAGAAGCAGCTGGAGTTCTCAGTTTCATTTATTCAGCGTTCAGCTTACATGAAGATGGCTTCAGCTTCGCCCAAACGCCTCGCAGCCTCTTATATAGGCAACTCCCGGGTAAATGGGTTACTTTTCCCGCGCCAGCACCCGCGCATGCGCACGGCGCTGGCGACAGCCTGTCTGGTCCCGGGCAGCTTTGCACCTGCCCGGGACTGCCTGCAAACGCCCGAGCCGTTTGCAAAGGCTCGGGACATAACACCCCTTTCCCCCGGGCTAAAACTACTACCAACATACAACATTTATTTTATATGACATTTTGCTCCCCAGTGCTCCCACTGATTACTGGCTTTTGCCTTGCCAGCAATGTTATGTAATCTTCTAGATACTTAGGAGATTTCTTTGCTCTCTGTGACCTTCTTAGCTCTGGGTTACTGGCATAAGTCCCCTGACTGGAGGGAGGCGTGAGCCTGTTCTCTCTATTGTGCCCTGGTGTCTTCCAAGGACTGTGCCCCGATGCCTGGCCTGCTTGCTTGCCCACCGGGCTCGTCAGGCCAGGGCTTCTGTTACTTTGTGACCTGGTTGACCTACCTAGCTGTAGACCCTCAGGCCCCTTGAAGTGATAGCCGCTGCTGGGCGTCTCTGTAGAACCTCCTAGGTCAGTCCAAGACCTGTCAGGAGGCTGTCCATTCCCTGAACCCCATTCTGTGTTCGGGCTCGTGTGGGTTTCTGTACTTTCCCAAAACTCAGGTGTTCCCTGATTTGTGCTAGGGTTGTTGTAGTCGGGACTTGGTTCCTCGACTAACTCTGTGTATGTTTGACCCCCTGTAGGATTTGGGGTAAGGTCAGGCCAACCTTGGGAATTGTGTGCCAGTTCTCTTGCGGGGAATGATTTGTTGGGATGCCCCCGGGTATCCTCCGTTGCTGGAGTGCTGTGTGATGTGTGTGGAAAGTGAGTATGCCCCCGGGGTGACTCCCTGGCTGGAGTAGGCGTGAGTGCCTGTTGTGTGGGTAAGCTCCATGACTTTCTTTTCGGAGCAATTGCAGAACCCTGGGATGGGCCGTTTGTGGCTCCCTCAGTGGAGATGGGCAGTAGCTCTTGCCCTTCCCTTTGCTCCAAAGGGTCCCCCTCCCCCCCTGGAAAAGACCCAGGAGTCTCAGCAGAAAAGTCTCGCCTAGAGCGAAGTTGGTCGATGTGCCGACGCAGGACACGACCGTTGTCCAGGGCAACCTCGTAGGAGAGAGGACCTGTGATCCTGGACACAGAAGCGGGGACCCATGTATGACCAGGCCCGTAATTGCGAGCCCCAAACCGGGGCACCCACAAGTAGTTGTCTAGGTGCCCTAGGATGTGAGGTAGATGAAGGCAGTCTGTCCGGATGCAACCGGTCAAGTCTAGTAGTAAGTTGGCGCCCCCAACGAAGTTCAGCTGGACTTCTCCCTGTAGAAGTGGACGGTGTGGTGCGATAAGAAAGGAGAAAGTCAGCCAACCTGTGATGCCAGTCCCCGTAGGTGAGTCTCTTCAAGGCGTCCTTTGCGATGCGCACCATGCGTTCAGCCATACCGTTGGTGGACGGGTGAAAAGGCGCAGACGTGGCATGACGAATCAGGTTTGCCTGTAAGAAAGCTTGGAATTCGGAGGAGGTGAATTGAGGGCCGTTGTCGGACACAATGACATCTGGCAGCCCGTGTGCAGCAAAAATCCCCCTCAGTACCTGAATAGTCTTTGCAGTGGTGGTGGATGAGACAGGCACAACCTCAAGCCATTTTGAATGGCTGTCAACAAGGACCAAGAAGAACTGGCCCTGAAAGGGCCCAGCGTAGTCAATGTGCACCCTAGACCATGGGGACTGTGTTTCCTCCCATCTATGCACAGGAGCTTGGGGCATCTCTGGGCGAGATCGTTGGCACAGGTGGCATGCGTGTACCTTAGCCTCAATATCTTTATCTAAAGCAGGCCACCACAAGTGGCTGCGTGCAAGAGCCTTCATACGAACAATGCCAGGATGACCCTCGTGGAGGGATTCTAAGACCCTAGTCCTCATTGAGGTGGGAATGACAACTCTGTTTCCCCAAAGCAGACAACCCTGAGAAAGGGACAGTTCGTTTCTTTTGGACCAGAAACTCTGAAACTCAGGACTAGGGCAGTGCTCAGGCCACCCGGACAGGACCCAGGAGCGGACACGTGAAAGTGTGTGATCTGTACCTGTTTCAGCGGTAACATCCCTGGCACTAAGAGGGAGCTCGGGCAAGGCTTGGATTGATAGAATGTTGACAGCTGGCGCGGGGTCAGCTTCTACTACTGGCAGAGGCAACCTACTGAGGCCATCAGCATGGCCCATTTCTTTCCCAGGCTTGTGGAGTAATGAAAAATCATATGCAGACAAGAAAATAGACCACCTAAGCATTCTAGGGGAAATGATGTGGGGAGTCTGCTTACGTGTGGTAAACAGTCCCAGCAGAGGCTTATGGTCAGTGAAGACCGTGAAATGCCTGCCATATAGAAAATCGTGGAATTTTTTAATTCCAGCAACAACAGCCAGAGCCTCCCTGTCTATCTGAGCGTAGTTGCGCTCGGCAGAAGACAGTGTTCTGGAGTAGTATGCAATAGGAACCTGAGTTCCATCAGACCTGAGGTGACTCAGGACAGCTCCAACCCCGTAGGGGGACGCATCACAAGCGATGCACACAGGAGAGACTCGTTGAAATGTGCAAGAACACTGTTAGAAGTGAGCAAGGCCTTGACTTCTTTAAAGCAAGCCTCATGTGCTTGTGACCACAGCCACACAGCCTGTTTGTCTAGTAGCCTGTGAAGAGGCTCAGCTACACTAGCTTTATGTGGAAGAAAAGAATTGTAGAAATTCAGGAGGCCTAGGAAGGCCTGAAGTTCGGCCTTAGACTTTGGCCTGGGTGCATCTAAAATAGCAGTTAGTTTGGATTCAGCAGGATGAATCCCAGCAGCATCAATTTTGAATCCCAGAAATTCAGTAGAAGGCACCCCAATCTGGCATTTGTCTTTTCTGAGCTTGAGGCCTGATTTCCTGAATCTTAACAGGACAGCCCTAAGCCTTTCAGCTAGAATGTGTGTGGAGTCTCCTGCAATCAAGACATCGTCAAAGTAGGGGCAGACCCCTGGTATACCTCGTAGTGTGTTTTCCATAACGCTTTGGAAAATCCCAGGAGCGACATTCACTCCAAACTGTAGCCTTTTTACTTTAAAGGCACCCCTGTGGGTCACAATGGTCTGAGCTATGGCAGCATCATCATCAACAGGCAGCTGTTGATATGCTTGAGCTAGGTCAAGCTTTGCAAAAACACGCCCCCCCTTGAGAGAGGCCAGAATGTGACTGACCACAGGAACAGGATAGGCATGTTGCTGCAATGCCTTATTGAGTGTGCATTTGTAATCAGCACAAATGCGAATGTCCCCATTTGCCTTTAGAGGCGTGACAATGGGGGTCTCCCACGGGCTGGAATCAACAGGTTCTAGGATTCCCTGTTGGATTAGTTTGTCTAGTTCAGTGTCAATCTTACTTTTTAAAGCAAAAGGGACCCTTCTTGCTTTAATCCTAATGGGAGTGACAGTGGGGTCTAGCTTTAAGGACACAGGTGGTCCTTTGAATGTGCCCAGCTGGGGGCTGAAAACATCTGCAAATTCTTTGCAGACTTCCTGTAGGTCGAGTGTTTGTAAGCTGTTGAGTCCTGTGACGTGTATCCCCAGGGCCTCAAACCAATCGAGTCCTATGAGACTCGTTCGTTCACCCCCTACTACTAATAAGTCTAGTGGACCTTCAAAACTCTTGTATTGCACGTTAAGGGTGGCCTCCCCCTTAACACACACTCTTGAGTTCTGAAAATCTGTTAATACAATATCAGAAGGCCTTAACTTGGCCTTAGACCCACTTCTGGAACAAATCTTCCTAAATGTATGCAATGAAATGATGGACAGGGCAGACCCTGTGTCTAGTTCCATAGATAATGGAACCCCTTGTAGCTTCACGTTGAGTGACAGCTTTTTCTTCATGGGCTTGTGTGTGCCTGTTCTACAGATGCTTCTTCGCGAAGCGCAAAAACCTACCCTATTCTGGCTGGGGAATCTGGTACCCTTCAGGCGTTCTTCTTGGGGTTGTGCCTTTCGTCGGCCCAGGCACACAGCTGCAATGTGCCCTTGTTTACCGCATGCCCGGCAGGTAGCGGAGCGGAACTTGCAGTCGGTTCTCCTGTGGCGACCTCCACAGCCGATGCACTTGAGCGGAGCCGAAGAGCTTCCCTTCTGGTTCTCTTCCTTCGCGGGGTGTAGACGGTCGACTTCCTCGTCCGGATCCTCCTCGGAGTTTCGTCGGACGTCTTCCTGGTGCACGGACGCACCCTCTGCACTGTTTCTGATCGGCCGCATGTTTTTGACGGCGCCGCCTGCTGCTTCTTCTGCGGTGACTTCCCTTAAGGCGTCTTGGAAGGATAATTCTTCCTTTGCGAAAAGTCTCTGTTGTAGCTCGCGATGCCTTAACCCGCACACGAATCGGTCCCTCAGTCGTTCCTCGAGGTCCTTGAACTCGCAGGGCTTGGCGGCCTTCCGTAACGCGGCGATGTATTCCTTGGCTGACTCACCGGACCGTTGATCTCTTTGTTCGAAGGTGTGGCGCCATGAGATAACGGACACCCTGGGGTTGAAGTGCTCCTTCAGCAGCTTCTTCAGGTCTGCGTAGCTTACAGACTCTACTGGGACAGGTGCTGCAAGGTTTTCTGCGATTTCGAAGGCGTCTTGGCCGCAAACGCAAAGCAGGGTGGCCGCCTTCAAGCTATCTTCCCTCACTTGGTTTGCCTTGAAGTAGTTCTCCATTCTGGATACGTAGGACTCCCACCGCTCTGGATGTGAGACGTCGAATTCCGAAAGCCTTCCGATTTTCGCCATCTTCGGATCTTCAGGAGACGGGTCTATCAGCCAGCCTACCCCCGAATGCGCACCGGATTGGCGGCAGCTGCCGAGTCGACGCCGTTCCTCTTTCGCCGCTCAGGACTCCTTGGGTAAGCTTACACTTCTTCCTTTCCAGGTAGTGCAAGGCATCCCATCCTCGTCGCCAATGTTGAGTCCGTGGCGGGAAAACAGACACGAGAAGCAGCTGGAGTTCTCAGTTTCATTTATTCAGCGTTCAGCTTACATGAAGATGGCTTCAGCTTCGCCCAAACGCCTCGCAGCCTCTTATATAGGCAACTCCCGGGTAAATGGGTTACTTTTCCCGCGCCAGCACCCGCGCATGCGCACGGCGCTGGCGACAGCCTGTCTGGTCCCGGGCAGCTTTGCACCTGCCCGGAACTGCCTGCAAACGCCCGAGCCGTTTGCAAAGGCTCGGGACATAACAGGCAGGATATAAATAAATACTTATTCACTACTTTCAGGTAAGCTGTGTTCTGCACAGCGTCGGCAAGGACTAAGAAATCATAAGCACAAGAAATGAAGGATTAAGAGAAATCCTTTTCAGTTCATTAACTGACAACATTCACTATACAGTATGTCTCTATGTCTTTCTACCCTTGGAAACCATCATCTCTTTCCTTATAGACACACACTACTTCATGGAGTGCCTCCTCCTCCTCCTCCTCCTCCTCCTCCTTCTCCTTCTTCTGCCATGTCCGTAATCAGACATTGGTGATCATGTTGGCGATCCTGTTTTTATCAGCAGCCGCATGAAAAAGTGCTGCTAAGTTTTGTCCAAACCAGCCCCTTAGATTTTGCCAGCTGGCTGCCCAGTATCGACTGAAGGCGGAGTACATACTGGTTGGAACAGCTTCAGAAGAACAGCACACAGTGTGGTGGCAGCCACTTGAACAGCATGTGCACAACGGTGTAGAAAGCAAAGGGAAGACTACTACACTATATATTTCCCAGGAAAATCATGTTAATGGCGGCAAAACCTAACAATGGCCCCGAGTAGGGTGCCCCTTAAATGGGGCAATGGTGCTAAGAATCTCCCGGTCTGCTAGAAGCATGATAAACCCAAAACTACGAATTGGTGCGTGGAATCTGAGAAACCTATACGAAGCTGAGAAAACACACAACACTACCCAAGAAATGTCCAAAACAGAGTACCTATGATTCTCTAAACTTCTCACCTCTCCCTTTATGATGATCTCATCAACTCCCCCTAGGCATGATGTTGTTGTTCTGCCCCTTTGCTTAACTCATTCACTCTTCTTTCATATCTTTATTTATTTCTGTCTAATACGAAAGGCTCCCAGGAGCCCGTGTGGAGAAAGCAAAAACTGGTTTGAGGGGATCTCAACCCAAACTTGAGATTAGGGTCCCACATTGTGGCTGCCTTTAGATAGATGACTGGATGGATGGATATTATTGAGTAAAATTATATGAAGACTGGAAAAAACACTTGACCTAGTCTCTGAATTATATAATTTTTTGATTTTATGTAATCCGCTGGATCATAAAGTCTGGTGCCCATGGAAGGTGTGTTGTATGCAAGCCCAACTTCTTTTGAAGATATGTACAATATCACTGTATATGCAAAAGGGTTGGGGGCTTCCATCATGATGCCCAGTCTGCCATTTTGACAATTTTAACTCCCTCCCCCATTTCCATGGATGCTGCTGAACATGAACTGAGCTGATGAACTGGGTTTGAAAGTAACCTTGCAACCATTAGATTTTTAAGGTATATTTAACCGTTGTGTAAATACAGGTAGTCCTCAATTTATGACCACAATTGAGCCCCAAATTTCTGTCGTTAAGTGAGACCTTTGTGAAGTGAATCACTGCAGATGATAAGTTAGTAACCTGATTGTTAAGTGAATCTGGCTTCTCCACTGATTTTACTTGTCAGATGGTTGCAAAAGATGATCACACAAACCTGAGACACATCAAAGGTCACAAGTGTAAGCCAGTTGCCAAGCACCTGTATTCTGATCACATGACCATGGGGATGCTGCAAAGGTCGTAACTGTACAAAATGGTCATAAGTCACATTTTTCAGTGCTGTTGTAGCTTTGAACGGTCACTAAATGAACTGTTGTAAGTCAAGGACTACCTATGTATGTAACAATGATGTAGACAGTGTGCCGAGTGGCTAGAATCTTGGATCAGGAGCATACACACCCAAACCACAGGATTTAATTCATTTGATATTGTTGCTCCTTACAAGGATCCTGAGAAAATAACGTAGGAGGAAGCTCCACATAGTATGTAGCGTAGGACCTAGGGGAACCTCAAAAGAAAATACTTTTTATATTAGAAATCTGTTTGGACATGTTACATGAGCACAGTAATTATGTTTGATTTTCCTGGGTTTGGCATGCGTATTCAACCCAAACCACGTATCCACAACACCATCAATTATTAGACCCATGGAGAGATTATCTTTCTCAAATAATGATGCAAGAAAGGCTTAACTTTCCAGTCCCATAACCTGGCTTTTGTTCTGCAGTTACAATTACAAAAGTATCGCTGTTTCCTTGGCCAATTCGTCTACAAGTGTTTCAGCTTGTGCCTCAGCCACTCCCCATCACTACACTGTTGCCGAAAGTTCCCACAACACAACTGCAGTTGGTAAGTAAAAAGTTTCCAGTGACCTTGGGCCTTTGTGTGTGTGGGGGGGGGGGAGGGAACCTTGCTTCATTTATCAGGGGTGGGGAACTATAGGCCTTTTATGACTCGTGGACTTCAACTCCCAGAATTCCAGAGTCAGCATGGCTCAGCATGGAAACCTCTCCCTTTCCCCTCAGCATGGCTGGCTCAGGAATTCTGGGAGTTGAAGTCCACAAGTCATAAAGGGATCATAGTTCCCCACCTCTGAAAGGGATGAGCACCCGTTAAGCATCCACAATCAAGACTGGAAAAATGATATCATTCTTTAGATTCATTATACCATAAATCTACTCTTCAAAATGATTTATGAATTGTCCTTGTTTGCCTAGCAATCCATACCACGATTTTCCAGTTTGATTGGATTTTTTTGCCCATACATTCTAAGTAAACTTCCTTGTTTAGAGTGGATTCATTAAAAACTCAAGATATGAAACAAACACTCCTAGATTTAAGGATATAACCTGGAAAAGCCTCAGAAACTATATTGGACTTGGTAGGTTTCTTGAAATGAAGCAAGCAGGTGAGATTAATTATTTGTCTCTTGAGAGAAATTAGTGCCACTCTTCTAAAATAGATGAAGCTAAAATATATGAAGAACAGTTGCAGGAATTGGGTATGTCTAGTTCAGGGGTTCTCAACCTTGGCAACTTTAAGACTTGTGGACTTCAACTCCCAGAGCTTTGCTGGCTGAGGAATTCTGGGAGTTGAAGTCCACAAGTCTTAAAGTTGCCAAGGTTGAGAACCCCTGGTCTAGTTTAATGAAAAGAAGGACGAGGGATGACATGATAGCAGTGTTCTAATATCTCAGGTGATCAACCTGTTCTCCAAAGCACCGGAAGGCAGAACAAGAAGCAACGGATGGAAACTAATCAAGGAGAGAAGCAACCTAGAACTAAGGAGAAACTTCCTGACAGTTAGAACAATTAATCAGTGGAACAACTTGCCTCTAGATTAGTTGTGGGTGCTCCAACACTGCAGGTTTTTAAGAAGAGATTGGACAACCATTTGTTTGAAATGGTACATAGGGTTTCCTGCCTGAGCAGGGGGTTGGACTAGAAGACCTCCAAGGTCCCTTCCAATGTTGTTATTCTATTATTCTCCCCCAGAGTTACTTGTGCCCATTATTGGAGGGGGAAGAGAGGAGATGGTACTTACTGAGGACTCGTGAGGAAGTGTCTCTCCTGCCATCCATCAAAATTATCTCAGGTCTAAGACCTTGCTTTTGCAATGGTTATTACATTTGCTAGAAGAATAGAATAGAATAGAATAGAATAGAATAGAATAGAATAGAATAGAATAGAATGGTTGGAAGTGACCTTGGAGGTCATCTAGTCCAACCCCCTGCTCAGGCAGGAAACCCTATACCATTTCAGACAAATGGTTGTTCAGTCTCTTCTTAAAAACTTCCAGTGTTGGAGCATTCACCACTTCTAGAGGCAGGTTGTTCCAGTGGTTAATTGTTCTAACTGTCAGGAAGTTTCTCCTTAGTTCTAGGTTGCTTCTCTCCTTGCTTAGTTTCCATTGTTGCTTCTTGTCCTGCCTTCCCGCACTTTGTAGAATAGCTTGACTCCCTCTTCTTTGGGGCAGCCCCTGAGATATTGGAACACTGCTATCATGTCGTTGGCTTGCAAGGTTTGGAATAGGTGAAGCCAAACCCTTGCTACAGGTAATCCTTGACTTACAACCATTCATTTAATGGTCGTTAAAGTTACCACAGTACTGAAAAAAAGTGGTTCACCACCAATTCTCACACTTATGACCATCGTGGCATCCTCACAGTCATACGGTCAAAGTTTATGCACTTGGCAACCTGTGTGTATTTACAATGGTTGCAATGTCCCAGGATCATGGGGATTACCGTTTGCAACCCTTCCAACTGGCTGGTTTCCAACATGCAAAGTCAACGGGGGAGTTTGGATTCACTTAACGACCATGTGATTCACTTAGCAACTGCAGTGGTTCACTGAACAACTGTGGTTAAAAAAAAGGTTGTAAAATCGGATGCCGCTCACTTAACAACTGCCTTGCTTAGCAATGGAAATTGTGGTCCCAATTGTCTTCATAAGTCAAGGATTTACTTTGGAATGAAAATTGTAATGCTCAGGTAGTATTGTGATCAAGTTGTGGACCTCACAACTTCTTGGGGCTTCTTTTGCTTTCAGAATGTGAAGAAATGATTAGTTCCTATTTGTGGGTCTTTGTGTTTGCTGGGAACCTTCTACGTGGAATTGGGGAAGCACCCATCATGCCTTTGGGAATGTCTTACATTGATGATTTTGCCACGGAAGAGAACTCTGCCTTTTATATAGGTAAGATAAAGATGGCCACTCTTTCTCTCCTGATTTGAGTATTGCAGCTGAGGTGGGGCCAAAGTTGTAGCTATCACAGTCCTCAGACTTCAACTCCCAGAATTCAACTCTGTCCAATGACTGCATTGACTGGGAATTCTGGGAGACACAATTCCAGCCTAGTTGGAAGTTACCTGGGGGGGGGGAATAAGGTGGGGGAGCTCAATTCTTGCCTTTAGTAGGTTCAAACTATTTCATCACAAGGATTCTTCAGTAAGTCTGCATTAAAAACCATCCATAGAAATTCAACGGATGGTCAGTAAATTTGTTCTGAGACACTAACCCCATTTTTCTTGCTGGCACCGAAAATGAGAGAAGACATTTTGCCAAGTTTTGGAGGGTGAGAAGGAAGGAAAGAGCGAGGGAAAGATGATAGATCTTCCCAGTCTAGCCTGCAGTTCTGGGATTTTCTGGTAGTCTTCAAGTACTAACCAAATTTTACCTCACCTTAGCTTTGTGCACAGTGAAAGTTGGTTTGATGCTGCCACCTGCTGTAGACCTCATTCCTCACCTGTTTTGAAGTCTTGTTCTGCAGGTGTTCCTATACTTAAGTTAATTTATTTTTCATAGGAATTGTGCGGTCTACAGCGATGTTTGGACCATGTCTTGGCTTTCTGCTTGGAGCATTTTGTGCTGGTTTGTGGGTTGACATTGGAGCAGTAAACCCAGGTAAGAAACAAGTACCATAATCAATGTTTCTTCTCAGCCAGGTTTGTCTTTGTGTTTGGTAGACTTTTGCTAGTCAGACCTCAAAACGTTGATTTAATGAAGTTTCATTTAGCAAACTTCAGATGTATTGGACAACATTATTGTCCAGACCAGTGGTTCTCAACTTTTCTAATGCCGCGACCCCATAATACAGTTCCCCATGTTGTGGTGACCCCCCAACCACTTATACATCACCGGGTGCCAGGGGCGTGGCCAAAGAAAAGGGGAAAAAAATGGCGGACAGCCTTGTTTGGCGACCCCTGTGAAATGGTCGTTCTACCCCAAATGGGGTCCCGACCCACAGGTTGAGAACCACTGGTCCAGACCTTATTCCAAAGGAATGCAGATCCATTGTTTCTGACATAGTCTGGAAAAGGCTATGAAGTGTGCATTGATTTTACATTAATTTTATGAGATGGTGCAAATTAGTCCTTTGTGCCAATTTTATTTCATTACACAAATGATATCAATTAATGCAAACAGCATGCTTTGGGATTTAACAGACATTTGGGAATAGCTGACATCCTCTTCCCATTTTCCCACATGTCTATTAAACTGAGTTTTTAAGTTTTCTATTTTGTGACTAAATAAGTATAGCAAGGAGAGAATGCTATAAGAAAAGAACTACTAATGAATATTTGGACCACATTGTAGAGCAGGGGTTTCCAAACTTGGCAACTTGAAGACTTGTGGACTTCAACTCCCAGAATTCCTCAGCCAGTATGGCTAGCTGAGGAATTCTGGGAGTTGAAGTCATAATCTTCAAGTTGCCAAGTTTGAAGACCCCTGTTGTAGATCTTTGAGATCCTTCCCAATGACTTGATAACAACAAGCTAGACTAGGCTAAAATAAGCTTGCTTGCTTCCTTGCAATTTAATATGTTGGGGGAACTTGGCTATTGCCTTAGCACTGAGTGTGAATGAGGCTATTGAATGAAGCCATCATATAGTTGTTTCTTTTACAAGTGACTAGTCCACAGAAAGTAAGCGTGGTGTAGTGGTTAAGGCATCAGACTAGAAATAGGGAGATGGTGACTTCTAGCCTCACCTACAAAGCCAGTTGGATGACCTCAAGCCAGTCACTCTGTCTCAGCCCTAAGAAGGAGGCAATGGCAAACCACTTCTGAAAAACCTTACCAAGAAAACCACAAGGCCATCGGCAAGAATCAGACACAATTGAATGGAAGAAAAAAACAACCATCCACAACTTACTTAACCTGGTTACTGGAAGAATTCACTTTCTGGGCTTGCCTAATCAATGGAATGATAACCTAAGCAAGAGGCCAAGTTATGCACATGCTGAGGGGCAAAAAAATAAGCCAAAATTAAAACTACATAATCTTTGCTTATGATAACGGATCACCCTCAAATTTAGAGGAGCTGATAGGGTGCTGTTCAAATGGAACTGAATTGTTTGTTGTTAAACCAAGTTTAAGATTCAACGTGCCATGTGACCGCCACTTATGTTAAGTCCTGGTGAACCCAAGGGATATACTTAATAGAAAATGTAATAAGAACTTCCATATGCAAGTTTTTTTTTTCTTTTCTCCTAGATACATTGACCATCAGTTCCAAAGACACACGTTGGGTCGGTGCTTGGTGGCTTGGGACGCTGATTTGTGGTGCCACCAGTTTTATGTCATCTCTCCCTTTCTGGTTCCTGCCTTACTCTTTGCCACAAGAAGGAGAACAAGTTGTTAAGAAGTCAACTGAAGTTTATGTAATCACTCAAGTCAGCCAGAACAAAATGGAAGCTCCTGGCTGCCCAAAGATGAAGGTTTCGGAAGTGGCAAAAGGTGATTGAATGATCTCTTCACAAGTAGCTAATTCTGAGCTTTGCAACTCGTCCTGAGCCAAACCTGTGTTCTGCAATATTTTACTCAATTTCCAGAGTCACTTCTTAGAGTGGAAACATGTTCAGTTTTTAAACATAGTTTTATTAAATATTACAATTAAAAGAGAAAAACTAATACAAACAAATGGAAAGAGAAAAAAAGAAAGTGCAGGAAAGAAAAAATAGAAAAGTAGAAAAAAATATAAGAACATGCGGTAATCAAGAAAAAAAGAAATTATATATTTCTTTATATAATGACTTCCATCTTCATCACAAGTATAAACCATTTTAGTAACTTATCATCTTCTTTTAAAATACAACAAATGGTATCTTCTTCCCATATCCAGCTCTTATCTATAAACAAAATCTTAAACTCCGGTCATTCAGTTCTAATCAGCAAAATCCATTAAGAATTAGCAGAAATAACAGCTTAGCTATTTTAACCTTAATCAAATAAACCAACTTTATATTCCTCCCTTTTACTTTTAACAATATTGTCTTTAATCCCCTTCAAATAATCCTCTTGGTTTTTTTTTTAAATGTATTTGTCCCTTCTCACAAAATTCTTCAAAGCTTTAACAAGGTTTTTTTTTGTAAATACAATATTTCCAAATTAAATCCAATGCCTAAAAGTTATCCAGGTCACTCCTATGGTTTGTTTTTTGTATATCCTTTTTTTCTTATTAAGACACCAGATGGTTTCCATTGTATATCCAGTCTTGCATCTATTTCCATATCATTCTTGTAGCCTGTCATTTTTAAATACACTTTTGGATCAGTCTGTCTTGTTCTGTATAATGTGTTCCTCTTCTTTTAAACGCTGTATCTATAGCAGGGGTAGGCAACCTTGGCTCTTTTATGACTCGTGGACTACAAATCCAGAATTCCTGAGCCAGTATGGCTCAGCCTGGAAACCTCTCCCTTTCTCCTCAGCATAGTTGGCTCAGGAATTCTGGGAGGTGAAGTCCACGAATCATAAAAGAGCCAAGGTTGCCTACCCCTGATCTATAGTGACAGGCTTTCTTAAAATTAATTTATGTTCCACTCTTCACAAATAACCTTCAATATATCCAATATTAAAACACTTTGCTGCATTCTGTATTAGTAAGTGAAATTTAACTGTCCTTCTCCTTTAATTGTAATTTTTCATTCTTCTGGTTCTTCTAGTGTCTGGCCTAAAATGTCTCATCCTATCTTTTTTTAAAAAAAGAGAATTCGAAACAATACCAAAATCAAAGTTCCTAATCATGCTTTTGCTGCAAAAGAAGTTTTTAAGTCCTTAAACTTGTATTAAAGCTTCTTTCTCTAAAGATTGAAGGAAACTCAATTGGTGCTGTAAAACTTGTTGATCCAAAAATTCCTAGTTAGCTAAAGAGGTTTACAAGAGATTTCTATAGATGTTTAGAAAAAGAAGCATACAAGTAGATCTCATACTTATAGGTTTCAGGTTTTGAAAGCTGTATGTTTTGGAAGGGATCTCTTTCTGATTAGTAGTTTGAGAACAACTCTCAAAGTATCACCTTGACTCTGGTGCTGGTCTTGCTGGGGCTATAATATCCCATTAGTCCCTTAGACTGCAAGGCGATCAAACCGGTCAGTCCTAGAGGAGATCAACCCTGACTGCTCCTTAGAAGGCCAAATCCTGAAGTTGAAACACAAATACTTTGGCCACCTAATGAGAAGGAAGGACTCACTGGAGAAGAGCCTAATGCTGGGAAAGATTGAGGGCCATAGAAGAATGGGACGTCAGAGAATGAGGTAGCTGGATGGAGTCACTGAAGCAGTAGGCATGAGCTTCAATGGACTCCAGAAGATGGTAGAGGACAGGAAGGCCTGGAGGAACGTTGTCCGTGGGGTCGCGATGGGTCGGACACGACTTCTCAACTAACAATAAAGTCCTTTTGGATTAGGTCATGTCAATAAATCTTAACCCTTGTGATGATTTTATTCCAATCATGTTAATTAACAACTTATTAAATGACTTGATTATAAAATCCATGATTTTTCCTCCTTGTAAAATTGTATTTTTTTTAATTACAATTTTGAACAAAAATAAAAAATAGTCTCAGGGCGAAATAGACCCGATAGTAAATTTGGTTAGACTTTTATTTTATTTCCTTTTGCTATTCCAGATTTCTTTCCTACTTTGAAAAAGCTGTTTGGAAACCCCATCTTCCTGATCTATTTGCTCCTTACAATCTTCCAATACAATTCTCTGGTTGGCATGGTAACCTTTGAATCCAAGTTTATGGAGCAGCAGTTCAACATCGCTGTTTCAAGAGCCATCTTTCTTATTGGTAGGTGAAGCTTTTCTTTTTGTTATCCATACACCTCCCTCCTCCTATTTTCTCCATAACAACAACAACAATGCTGTGAGGTAGTGATGGACCTAAAGATCCCAGCTGGCTTTCATGGGTAAGGCAGGACTAGAATTCACAGTCTCCTGGTAATTGGCCCAAAGTCACCCAGCCAGTTTTCATGCTGGTGGAAACTAGAACTCACCGTCTCTTGGTGTTTGGCCCAAAGTCACCCTGCTGGCTTTCATGGCTAAGTTAGGACTAGAACTCATAGTCTCTTAATTTTTATTTTTTATTTTATTTTATTTTTATCACAGTATTGCTTCATCTGAATTTAATGGCAAAACTAGTTAACAGAACCACCATTTTGTACAGATGTCAACACTTACGAATTTTACTGAATTTTCCTCCTGCAGTAAGTGCTACCTAGCAGGACCAAAGAAGAAGGAAATTATTATATCCAAATTATTTTCATTTGCTTAAAGGTTTATAATTGTACCTTAAAGTGAAAGAACATTAACATTTCTAATCCCAACCCCACAAGTTTAAAACACACTGCTGCTAAAAACAGAGTTCATCTAAGGTAACAAAAGACAGAAATCAACCCTTTTCTGGAGTGCTCCATTGTTACAGCATTGTGGTCTCTGGTTAAACTTTTCTTGTGCGTATTTTCATTGCTTTTTCGGGCCAAATGTAAGAGTCTGTCAGAAAGCTTTCATAGTCAGTGTTGTCTCTTAATTTTTAATTTGGTGCCTTAGCCATTACACCAAACTAATAGACATTCCATGAGATTAAGCAGGCACACATGGTATATGGCAATGATGGTGAATCTTTTAGAGACCAAGTGCCCAAAACCCACCCTGCCCCTGTCCTGCCCTCTGCCCCACTCCCGCTCTGCCCCCGCTCCGTCCCCATCCTGCCCACCCACAGGGCCATCCACCGCCTCCACAGCCTGCTGCAGCAGATCGTCCAAGTGGCCTGCAGTGCCATGGCAGCCACACCCTTGAGCCGTGCCCCACAGCATCATCTGTGTGCGACGGGGCGTGAGGGCGGAGTCTTGTCCCTGCTGCCCAGCTGCCATGTGCTTGGCTGCGTTGCTCTGCGCGGGCTGTGCCCAGGGACAACTCTCCTCCGGGGGGGCTACTGGTGAGGAAGGGGCTGCGGGGGAAGGCGGAGCCTGGGCAACAGTGCATGTGCCCACAGAGAGGGCTCTGGGTGCCGCCTCTAGCATGCGTACCATAGATTCGCCACCACTGGTATATGGGTTGGGTGGCTTCTGTCGACATCCTTTTCTCTGTAATGAGAAAATGAGGCATATTATTACTACAGGTAGTTCTCGATTTACAACCACAACTGAGCCCAAAATTTCCCTTGCTAAGCAAGACAGTTGCTAAGTGGGTTTTGACCCATTATACGACCCTCCTTGCCATAGTTGTTAAGTGAATCCCATAGTTGTTAAGTTAGTAACACGGTTGTTAAGTGACTCTGGCTTCCCCATTGACTTTGCTTGTCAGAAGGTCACAAAAAAGGATCACATGACACCCCCTGGGACACGGCAACGGTCATAAATGCATGCCTGTTGCCCAGCAAATTTTGATCATGCTCCTATGGCCGTGGTGGCGAACCTATGGCACGCATGTGCCACTGGTGGCACTCAGAGCCCTTTCTGTGGGCACGTGTGCCATCGCCCCAGTCCTAGGCCTTCAGCTGGGTTTTATAAAACCTTTTCGCTTTAGGCCTCTGCCGCCGTGTGCAAAAAAAAAAAAAAAGGTTCAATCAATCAATTTCAATCAAGATCTCGCAAAGTTGGAATTAATTGATTGAACTTTTTAGTCCCACCCAGTCTGCCGTTACTACTGAAGCCACGCCCACCCAATGGGCCATACCCACCCGGCACCCGATGATACATAAGTGGGTTTTGGGTTGCAGTTTGGGCACTCGGTCCCTAAAAGGTTCGCCATCACTGTCCTATGGCGATGCTGCAGTGGTCGCAGGTGTGAAAAACGTTCGTAAGTTCACTCTTTCAGTGCCGTAGTAACTTTGAATGCTCACTAAACAAATGGTTGTAAGTTCAGGGCTACCGGTACTCCTAGCAGTGGGTTATGGCAGTGGTTCTTAACCTTTTTGAATGAATCGCCCCCTTGAGCCAATGAGGAAGTTGTCATCGCCCCCCTCCCCCAACATAACCTCTCAATCACAACATAGGAAATAATTCTTCAATTTATGCAAACACTTTTTTTGTTTTCTTTAAAATTGTCATCAGGACATATTGATGCAAATAATTTATTTCCAGTCTTTTTCCCATATCTCCCATATTCTGGCCAATGGCGTGCCACTGTATGGGTAGAGGCTGCTGCGCAATGCGCATGAAGATAAGCGATGCGTATTCACATATGTACAGCATTCTGTGCTGAAGCTAGCTGGAGGAACATTTGAAAATACAATTCAATCCACTAATAGCGAGCAATCTGATGTTTTTGTACGACAGATATACAGCGATTTCACTGTACAAAAAAGTCTCAAAAGTGTCCCCAAAATGTCTCTCTCCATCGTCCCCATATCGCCCCCTTTTCGTTCCATCGCCCCCCTGAAAAAATGAAATTGCCCCCTGGGGGGCAATATTGCCCAGGTTAAGGACCACTGAATTATGGTAACTATTATTCTGAAGAAGGAAATGTGTTTTGTGTTCAGTGACGGGTGAGATGATGCCACTGCTCCCTTTCCTTTGCAGGTGTGATTGTCTTACCTATTGCCATTGTGGGGATATTCCTGGGAGGTTTTATCATCAAGAAGTTCAAACTGCACATTGCAGCCATGGCGAAGTTTGCCTGCATCACCTTTGTGACAGCCTTCCTGTTAAACCTGTTTTACTTCGCCGCCAGTTGCCAAGTGCCTAAAGTGGCTGGTTTGACCGTCAACTACTCTGGGTTTGTCGTCTTGTTCATCGTTGGGGGTGATGGGAGGAAGTTGCAGCTAATGAATGTTTTATAATGCATGTTTTATAATGCAAGTAGCGTATTCTGAATACATTGCTCTCGCTCAGAAGGGTAACAGGGAGAAAAATTCTACATTTTTTCCCCTCCTTCTCACTTACTTTGATTTCCATCAAAAGTAGCCTTGGGGCATTTCTTTCAAAGGAGATGAGAAGATCCTTGTAATTCTCATTGCGGGAATGGAAAGTTCTTGTAATTATTTCTTTACAAAAAGATCAATAAAATAGAATAGAGTTGGAAGGGACCATGGAGGTCTTCTAGTCCAGCCCCTTGCTCAAGCAGGAGAATCTATACCATTTCTTACAAGTGATTGTCTAGTTACAGTATCTTCTTGAAAACCTCCAGTGATGGAGTGCCCACGATTTCTGGAGGCAAGCTGTTCCACTGGTTAATTGTCCTCACTGTTAGGAAGTTTCTCCTTAATTCCAGGTTGTTTCTCTCTTTGATCTGTTTCCAACCATCATTTCTTGTCCTGCCCTCTGACACTTTGGAAAATAAATTGATCCCTTTTTCTTTGTGGCAGCCCCTCCAATATTGGAACACTGCTATCATGTCACCCCTAGTTCTTCTTTTCTTTAGACTGGCCAAACCCAAGTCCTGTAGCTGTTCTTCATACGTTTTAGTCTCCAGGCCTTTGATCATCTTAGTTGCTCTTCTCTGATTTTTTCCCCCAAAGTCTCAACATCTTTTTTGTAGTATCTCAACTTCTTTTTTATAGTATTGTGTAAATGGCCTGCCTTTCATTGTGCCTTCCTCACCCCAGTGCCCAAAAGCCTATGGCAGTGTTTCTCAACCTTGACAATTTTAAGGCATGTGGACTTCAACTCCCAGAATTCCACAGCTAGCAATGCTGGCTGTGGAATTCTGGGAGTTGAAGTCCACATGCCTTAAAATTGTCAAGGTTGAGAAACACTGTTTTAGAGTGATGACAGATCAGAATCAGAAAATAGCAACCTTTTGAGCAAATGCTCGCCCACATCTCTAACAATAAACTGCCAGTAGTCTTGACTTATAACCGGACATTTAGCAATGATTCAAAGTTACGACCAAATCAAAAAGGGGCCTTAAGACCAGTTGTCCCCTGTGGTCACGTGACTGTACTTCAGCATTTCTGGTTTTGGAGAAAAACGGAGTCCATAACAAATGACTGTAGTGCTCACTTAACTACCACCACAAAAAAGATACTAAAATCTGACTGGCCATGCGACTTACCCATTTTACAGCTCTTATCACTTATGATTATAACGGGCAGCTTTGGCTGCGCGGTGATAACTCGAGGACTATCTGTAAGTTGAGGGAATGGGGGGGAAACCACAGAGAAATTGGAAACAAACCCTCAATCACCCTGAGAATAAGGTAGAAATTATAAACCTCATAATAATAATAATAATAATAATAATAATAACAACAACAACATTGGAAGGGACCTTGGAGGTCATCTAGTCCAGCCCCCTGCTCAGGAAGGAAACCCTATACCATTTCAGACAAATGGCTGTCCAGTCTCTTCTTAATAACTTCCAGTGTTGGAGTATGCACCGTTTCTGGAGGCAGGTTGTTCCACTGATTAATTGTTCTAACTGTCAGGAAATTTCTCCTTAGTTCTAGGTTGCTTCTCTCCTTGATTAGGTTCCATCCATTGCTTCTTGTCCTGCCTTCAGGTGCTTTAGAGAATAGCTTGACTCCCTCGTCTTTGTGGCAGCCCCTGAGATATTGGAACACTGCTATCATGTCACCTCTCATCCTTCTCTTCATTAGATTAGACCTATCCAATTCCAGCAACCGTTCCTTATGTGTTTTAGCCTCCAGTCCCCTAATCATCTTTGTTGCTCTTCTCTATACTCTTTCTAGAGTCTCAACATCTTTTTTACATCGTGGTGACGAAAACTGGATGCAGTATTCCAAGTGTGGCCTTACCAAGACATTGTAAAGTGGTATTAACACTTCACATGATCTTGATTCTATCTCTAATAATGAAGCCTAGCACTGTGTTGGCTTTTTTGGCAACTGCAGCACACTACTGGCTCATATTAAGTGATTGTCCACTAGGACTCCAAGATCCCCCTCACTGTTGCTACTATTGAGCAAGGTACCCCCTATACTATACTTGTGCATTTGTTTTTTCTTGCCTAAATGTAGAACCTTACTTTTTTCACCATTGAATTTCATTTTGTTAGATAGCGCCCAGTGTTCAAGTCTGTCCAGATCCTCCTGTATCCTAAGCCTGTCTTCTGGAGTGTTGGCTATTCCTGCCAGCTTGGTGTCATCTGCAAATGTGATGATTTCCCCATCTATCCCTTCGTCCAAATCGTTGATGAAGATGTTGAAGAGCACTGGGCCCAGAACAGAGCCCTGGGGCACCCCACTACACACTAGGATTTCCCTGGGATGATTTTCCCATAAAAAAGTTAAAGCACAGCATTAGGAGAAAAAAAACATCACCAATCCAAAAGATTCAAGAGTGTTCTTTCTATTTTGGGATCCCTTCTTCTTGCATTGGGTTATTTTCCAAGGTTGTTATCCTTCTGCAACCTGTAGTTCTTCCCTCTTATGCATGGCTGGCATTCTGTTGGCTGACAATATTGATTTATTTATCTCAGTAGTTCTCAACCTGAGGGTCAGGACCCCATTTGGGGTCGAACGACCATTTCACGAGGGGTCGCCAAACAACGCAGTCCGCCATTTTTCCCCCTTTTCCTTAGCTGTGCTATTCCCTTTTATTCTATTGGCTTTTGAAAGCCAATAGAATAGACTCTCTTGAATAGAGTCTAATTCTATTGGCTTTCAAAAGCCAATAGGAATTGTCCAGGCTGTCTCTGTCCTGGTGAGCCTGCCAAAAGTCCCATTCTGCAAACGGTGCTGCACCAGTTGAGTAGTCCTCGGCTTACGACTGGTTGAGTAGTCCTCGACTTACGACCGGTTGGGGGTCGCGGCATTAAAAAGGTTGAGAACCACTGATTTATCTGGATCTTTCCCCCTTTGGATTGCTGATGGCTCCATCATTATTCCTTTAGCATCAAAGAAGTGTCCTTCAAAGAGAAGCCGTTATCTCTCTGCAACTCTGACTGCAGCTGTGAAGAGAGCCACTGGGATCCAGTTTGTGGAGACAACGGTATCACCTACATGAGCCCATGTTTAGCTGGCTGCAAAACATCCGTGGGAAGTGGAAAGGATTTGGTAAATGCAGCGACGTTATAACCTATCCCTTCAATGGAAAGGAAATAAGTTCTCATTTATTTGTATACTTTTAGAGTTACCTTTTTGGGGAGATGGGCAGCACGAAAAGGTATAAGTAAATGTATTATAAATGAAAATGTATTCATTGAAAATAGATAAGTTAGTTTCCTGAGAAGGGGCAAATCACAGAATATTAGATCTGGGCAAAATTTTCAGAGGGATACTTTACTTCCATGCAAGCTTGTTCAAAGTTCCTGTTGGTGCTGCTGTCCTTGATGTTTATTTTATTTATTTATTAAATTTATGTGCTGCTCATCTCACTTCATTCTGAATGTCATGTTGTTGGAGCTATATATGCACAATAGCCTCTTCTGACTTTTCCAGCAAATTCTTGGAAATCCAGAAGGAGATTCTATATTGGCAGTAAAGGGTAAAACAAGTCAGGATGGTTGGCAAAAGATAGCAAACCCCACACTCACTCACCCTGATGATGTTACTTAGTTGGGTAATGAAATGTCTGCAGGGAAACCACCGAGCATCAAGGACTCCACAGTTTAATCCTGAGCTGCAAAAGACTAGACTAGACTAGACTAGACTAGACTAGACTAGAATAGAATAGAATAGAATAGAATAGAAACTATGGAATAGAATAGAAAGAATAGAATAGAATAGAATAGAATAGAATAGAATAGAATAGAATAGAATAGAATAGAATAGAATAGAATGGAATGGAATGGAAGGGAAGGGAAGGGAAGGGAAGGGAACAGGGAATAGAATAGAATAGAATAGAATAGAATAGAATAGAATAGAATAGAATAGAAAATATGGAATAGAATAGAATAGAATAGAATAGAATAGAATACAATAGAATAGAATAGAATAGAATAGAATAGAATAGAATAGAAAATATGGAATAGAATAGAATAGAATAGAATAGAATAGAATAGAATAGAATAGAATAGAATAGAATAGGAATAGAATAGAATAGAAGAATAGAATAGGAATGGAATAATAGAATAGAATAGAATAGAATAGAATGGAATAATGGAATAATAGAATAGAATAGAATAGAATAGAATAGAATAGAATAGAATAGAATAGAATAGAATAGAATAGAATAGGAATGGAATGGAATGGAATGAATAGAATAGAATAGAATAGAATAGAATAGGAATAGAATAGAATAGAATAGAATAGAATAGAATAGAATAGAATAGAATAGAATAGAATAGGCCACTCTTTTCTAGCCCTGATTATGTTACCTAGTTGGGTAATGAAACATCCGCAAGAAAATAATCAAGCTCAGAGAGATTGAACAACCATTTGTCTGAAATGGTATAGGGTTTCCTGCTTGAGCAGGGGTTGGACTAGAAGATCTCCAAGGTCCCTTCCAACTCAGTTATTCTGTTACTTCAGAAATGATTAACATTCCCAGAAACCATTAATTACATTGCTTGCCTACAACCACACAAATAGAGATTTGGAAATGTAGACCATTCTGAGCATTTACTTCATTTCTCTTCTATCTTGCAGGTATTTCAAAACTGCAGTTGCGTAGGAGTGTCAGGAGCTGGTAATTTTTCTGCAGTTCTGGGTCAATGTCCAAGGGATAATTGTGCAAAAAAATTCCCTTACTTTTTAGTGTTGTTGTCCATCGTTGTATTTATCTTCTCTTTGGGAGGAACGCCTACGTATATGCTTATGTTTAGGTGAAGACATTTTCATTCTTTTTTAAAGCTGGGGGGGGGGTACAAACTGGGTGTAAAATTGTAGAATTTACCATAAAAATGAATGCTGGAAAAAATATTTTAAAAATCATACCCTTCCATTCATTGCTTCTCCGGCAGATTCCTTCTAAGTGGCAAAAAGCAGTTTTCAGATTTCAAACATTGTATTGTATTTTATTGCCTTTTATTCATAGTACAGGGAGTCCTCAACATATGGCCAGTTGCTTAACAATCATTCTAAGTTATGACAGATCTGTCTTGGGGCTATTTAAAACCTGGATTCAAATTTCCAACAATTCCCCTCCTCCTTGCTCATATGACTAAACTGGGCACTCAGCAATAAGGCTGCATTTACCACCATTGTGCAGGCTCACATTTTATGATGGTTTTGCTAAAAACTGGCATTTACCTCTGGCTTTCAGTAAAACTGCACCCACAACAAACAACCATGGTATTCGTTTAATGACTGCAGCATTTCATTTTACGACCGTGGTGTTTGCTTTAACGAAGGAAGGTATATATACGTATCCCAGGATAATGTTAAAGGATCCAACGTTTGCTTTAAGACCACCGTGGTGGCTTTGCAACCATAGCTTCAGCTTAACAACAGCTGCAAAAAAAGGCCTTAAAATCAGGTTGATCACATGACCAACTGATTTACAGCTGTCATGACTTATGAGACCAGGCTTCATTTATAGTCATAACCCAAGGACTATCTATAATGCATTGTTAGAAATTGAACATGATCAAACATTTTACAACTGCTATTACAGTTCCCAGTGAAATTTCTACTTGTAGAAAGATACTGTTGTTACAAAAGTCAATTTTTCCAAATCAAGAGTTGTAATTTCACATCACTGCGATTTGCCCACATGTATTTATTTAATTTTTAAACTTTTTATTAATTTTCCAATGTTACAATTATATCTTTGAAAAGCAACGTGGTGTCTGAATTACAATAATTCCATTACATACAAATATTATTAATACAAATCTCCAACTATTACAGCCAATATTTCCTCTCCTTTTTCCCTTAATACATACTGTCTCTTGTTTAAATTAGTATACTTCAGCTACTTAATAGCTTTCTTACATTTATCAATAATTTTATATATCTTATTTATTTTAACATTCCATCTTTTGGACCATCAATAACCTTATGAATTTTCCCAGCTTTAATTTTGCATTAATATTTAAGTTAAACGTTTAATATTTATCATTTCCAATTTTTTAAATGACCCCAATTCCCTCTGTCACAATTCCTCTCAACATCTAGTGTTCCGGATACATATCTTATTTAATTTTTAATTCAAAGACTGGAGGATAAGTTACAGCACTGTTTAAAAATTAAAATAAAATTTTATCATTCTATAAAATGCTACAAAGATTAAAATGACATTAATAAATAGGACAAGAATAAAACATTTATTTATTTTACAAGCATTTAAGGATATTTAATTCATGCTGATGGATTTTTTTTTCCAATGGTTGAACTTTAAGTCTGTGCTTAATTTGAGTCAGGACTGAGTTGATGTTGATTATACATCATTCCAGTTGGTTTCAGCTCTGAGCCATACTAGGAAATTGTGCTGACTAGCTTGTTTTCAGATTTCATTTATTTCTTTAGTATTATTTTTATTAAGAATTTTCCCTGCTAAGAGACAAATCTAAAGAAAAAGAAATAAAAGAGAATAAAAAAAGAAAAAAAGAAACAGGGAAAAACGATAGAAAAAGCAACACAAATTTTAAAAATGTGATTTCCAACCAATATTTATTTATTTATTTATGAGACTTATATACTGCTTTAAGTGCAAGCACTCTCTAAGCGGTGTACACCAGTAAGCAATGTATATATATATTTACATTGCCCCCAACAATCTGGGTCCTCATTTTACCTATCTCGAAAGGATGGAAGGCTGAGTCAACCTTGAGCCGGTGAGATTTGAACCGCTGACTTGCTGAACACAGTCAGCTAAAGTGGCCTGCAGTACTGCACTCTAACTGCTGCGCCACCTCGGCGCAATTTTTTTTACAATATTTGCAATCTTATTTTTTGTCTTCCCGCTAGAATTCATTCATTTCAATGTTCCTTGTCTAAGCTCACTTTTGAACTTCTCCTCATGTTTTTTCAGATCAGTTTCACCAGATTTGAAATCTTTTGCTGTGGGCATCGAAGCTTTGTGCGGAAGAGTCCTTGGTAAATAGATTCCAGATTTCATTTTAGATTTTAAGCAGATAACCTTATTTATTTATCTAGTCCAACCCCCTGCTCAGGCAGGAAATGCCAGGCAGGAAATGTCAGGTGTTTTGATAACACCAATTTCAGGAGAGCTGTTCTAAAGCTGCTGGTTGATGAAAACACAGCCACCTCTCTCCATTACATTTCTTTTGTGCTCATGTTTGCTTAAATCTAACTCAGTTTAAGCAAAACTTTGGACCAAGGCAGTTTGGCAATTTCTTGAAAAGGCTGGGCTTGTTTTGTCCAGACTGCAAGCTGCCATTGGACAATTTCTTTGCTGCTGTCACTTCCCCTGTCAGGCTCTCTTGATTGACAGAATCCCAAGAGAATCCATAGGGCAGCGGTGGCCAGACTAATCACACCTGCACAGTCAAAACCCTGCAACTTTTTTCCCATCACACAAACAGTATAAAAAAAAAGGGGAGGGGCTCATAACCGTTTATCAATTTCATTATTTTACCATTGTCCTCCATGTTGTCAGTGAGCAATAGTCACAGATGCTGACATCAGCTTGTAACATTTTGTGAGGGGAGCCCCTCTTTGCATTCTTTGAAAATAAATTTTAAACTGGTAATCAACCCAATTGGTTATTTTTTAAAAAACCAAGATGGCTGTCCTGATTGATCCCCGAACTGACCAGTGTTTGCATCTCAGCATTCCACCAGTAAAGTTTTTAACAAAGGAGAAAATGTATAAGGCACCAAATGAGCTTCTACAGATAGTTCTCAATTTACGATCCATTAGCAAACATTCAAAGTTATGACAGACCTTCCCAAAGGTACTTATGGCCCGGTTTCAAAGTTTGGATGGCTCCCCCCCCAACCCCCACAGTCAAGTGACTGCAGGCCAGACACTCAGCAGCCCCCCTGCATTTACTTCCATTTGCAGTGTCCTGCAGCCTCATGAAAACATTTTATGATGTTTTGTAGAAAGTTTTGTATTTCTGCTTTACAGCAAAAATAGTCCATAATGAACAATGGGTTTCCATTACAACCATAGTAGCTACTTGACCATCCCCAAAAAAGATCATAAAAATAGGTCTGGCCATGTGGCGACTCATTTTATGACTGTCATGACTTAGAACCATAATGGTCAGATTCCATTATGGTTGTAAGTGGAGGATTGCGAAGCAATTGACCCAGACAGTTTATCACCTGGTTTGGTGATAAATACAGGAGAACCTCATATTGAAAGTGGAGGGTCAAAATGTACCTGTGGATTTCATTTGCAGTGACGGGGTCAGGGGTCAGAACAGGATGTCCATTCCACATAATCTATACATACAGGCCGGAAGTCTCTGCACAGTCTGGAAATATGGCTCCAACTAAAATCCTTCGCACTTCCTACTCCTCGTTTCTTTTTTAGGAGTTTAATTCGAGCCATTAAGTTCTCACTGTGCATACTCTGCCACTGCGTTTTTGTTCCCCTCAAGCCTTGCTGAGTATGTCAAGACTGTCATATTTGTCTCTCTTGTCCCTACTTCAGGGGGGCTCCCTTCCCCAATTTACTTTGGAGCTTTGATTGACCAGACCTGCTTGAAATGGGGTATGAAAACCTGTGGTGGATCTGGGGCTTGCAGAGTCTATGATACCAAAGCATTCAGGTGAGCCTCAAAGGAAGAAAAGAACCTATGGTCTAAAATGGTTTGTGTTGTGTATTCCTCGGGTGTGCTGGGTCTGGATGAATAAATCTGCTTTCACACCTTAAATAAGGATGAAGACCTTTCATAGAATAGTTACATGTTGACAAGTGTTTTATTTGTATTAATATAGCTTTCAGGGAGAGGAAGGAAGGAAGGAAGGAAGGAAGGAAGGAAGGAAGGAAGGACGGAAGGAAGGAAGGAAGGAGGGAGGGAGGGAGGGAGGGAGGGGAGGGAGGGAGGAAGGAAAAGCAAAGAGAGTGTGGATAGATGGATGGAAGCCAATATAGAATGGATGGATGGATGGATGGATGGATGGATGAATAGCAGGAAGGAAGGGAGGGAGGGAGGGAGGAAGGAAGGAAGGAAGGAAGGAAGGAAGGAAGGAAGGAAGGAAGGAAGGAAGGAAGGAAGGAAGGAAGGAAAAGCAAAGAGAGTGTGGATAGATGGATGGAAGTCAATAAAGAATGGATGGATGGATGGATGGATGGATGGATGGATGGATGGATGGATAGCAGGAAGGAAGGAAGGGAGGGAGGGAGGGAGGGAGGGAGGGAGGAAGGAAAAGCAAAGAGAGTGTGGATAGATGGATGGAAGCCAATATTGGATGGACGGATGGATGGATGGATGGATGGATGGATAGCAGGCAGGCAGGAAGGAAGGAAGGAAGGAAGGAAGGAAGGAAGGAAGGAAGGAAGGAAGGAAGGAAGGAAGGAAGGAAGAAAGGAAGGAAGGAAGGAAGAAAGGAAGGAAGGAAGGATCAAGGGCAAGAACATTGCAGAAAAAAATGGACAGGAAAGAAAAAGAATATGAGAGCACAATCAGTAAAGGAGGAGGAGAGACTGCAGGGCAGCTCCATAATTTTAGTCTAGGTTCACATAATACATTAAACCCAACCTAAGCAGACTGCACTATGGAACTTAGCCACTGTTAACATTCTAATATGAACCTCTTCGATTGTTAAATAAACCATTATTGGACAAAACATGACTGTCTGATATGGAAATACCATAGGCTCTGAATCTTCCGGCTTCTTTTGAAAGACTGTCATTATTGATCTCCAAAGGTGAAAATGCTAGTTCTCTTCTTCTAGGAAACATTTCAGCTTTATTCCAACTTAGCTTGTTCTCCCTTTGTTTTTTCTCCTAGAAATGTCTACCTCGGGGTCATTGCTGCACTAAGATTTGGAAGCGTCTTTCTTTATCTCATCCTTTGCACTCTAATCATAAAACGTTGCAGGCAAAGCTATCAAATGACGAAGGACATCAAAACTGGAGAAATACTTGACACTAAGTTGTCCAATATCAGTCCAAAGACAGAAGAGTCCTCTCACAAGGAGATGCAAGTTGCTGGAGACACTCCTTTTTGAAAAGGTCAAAGAACATTATCTTGGATGCTCGTGCAGACAATGGCTGCAAATTATGGAGTTATCATGAGCAAATTGTGGAGCTCCTGACATACTAGTCCTTGACCGAGCCAAAGCACTGCCAGTCATCGGAGTTAAACATTGACTTTAGCATCAAATGTTGCTTCAGAAAGAAGAATCTAGAACTCAAAGTTCAAAGAAGGTCTTAGATTAGGGGTGTCAAACTGTCAGCTCGCGGGCCAGATGTGTCATGCCGAAACCGCACCCACCCCATTGCCGGCAATGGAAAAAAAGTTGTGATACATTGCGACACCTCACGTGATTTGCAAGTTTGACACTCCTGTCTTAAATCCTGAAGAAGATATCTGAGGAGCTCCCATTAATGGTCCAACTGAGATTGTGATATGACTCCTGGGTGAAACATGGTGGTCTTGGGAATTCATAAACAATAAGGTTGTTAAAATTGGGCAATGCCATGTCAACTATGGCACAAAGAAGTGGAAGTTGGAAAAGGAAGATGTGGTTTTGGAACACAAAATGCAAACTCTATGTTGCATCATAATGAAAAAGCAGAGGAGATTTAAACAATTTCTCCTCGTCTTCCTCCAGTGCTAAGTTTCCGTGAAACTCTTCCCTTCTGAAAAATGTTCTTCCCTTTTGGTTTGGGATGTCCAACTTGGCAACCTGTGCCAAGATCTGTGGACTTCAACTCCCAGAATTCTCCATGCTGGCTAAGGAATTCTGGGAGTTGAAGTCCACAGGTCTTAAAGTTGCTAAGGTGGGGCACCCCTGCTCTACCCAAAGTTTGCACAAGTAAAGTTTACTGGCTAATTTAGTTCCTAGAGCAGTGGTTCTCAACCTGTGGGTCGGGACCCCATTTGGGGTCGAACGACCATTTCATGGGGGTCGCCAAACCATGCTGTCCGCCATTTTTTTCCCTTTTCCCTAGCTGTCCTACTCCCTCTTATTGGTGGCCACACCCACTTGGGGGTCACCACAACATGGGAAACTGTATTATGGGGTCATGGCATTAGAAAGGTTGAGAACCACTGTCCTAGAGACAATCACTGTGCAAATTGCTGGCTATTGCAGAGTGTAGAAGACCAGTGTATGTGGTTGTGAAGGTCCCACAACAGGAGATGACACTAAAAGTCATGCTTTTCTCTCAAGAGATAATGACTGCCACAACTTGGTTAACTGAACTCTGGTTTACTATGTTAACCCAATATTCTGTGTTTGTTTATTTGGCTGAACTGTAAGCTAAATTTTCCAGATTGGCTAGATTCACATAACAAAATAATCCATAAACTAACCACAAGACATTTTGGACTCGAGCACTTGTGTAAATACAGGCTTGAAAAGACCAGTTCTGATGTTTTTGGTTTCTATTACTTCATTGTTTAGACTTTTTATGAGTTTACAGCTGTTTTCACCTTTTTCAGTTAAGTAAGTTGGAGAGACTTCTGCTGTGTTTACACAACACACCGATCCATAGTTTACAAAGCAGTTTAATTCCAGTCTGCCTTACAGAAATGATTGTATAAATTATAAACTAACCTCCTGTGGTTAGTTTATAATTTGGTTTTTCACAAAATAGTTTTCACACAATAGCTTGTGGTTTTCACACAGTAGTTTGTGGTTCATATGAACCCTGCCACAGAGAGAACAAAGATTTGGGGAAACTATTTGTATCGGGGGGTGGGGGGAATTGAGATTCCAAGATGGCGGTGATTTCAACATCCTTTGCTAATGGATCTGTTGCAAAAACCAATGAAGAACTTCTGAGAGAGTAATTTTAACCACTGATTTTCTGGTTTGACTCTTTTTTTTTTTTTCTTCCCCTGACATTTTCAAGCAGCATTAATGTTGTGTCATTACAGTGATGAGAAATCATACTTTTTTAAAAAAAAGAAAAGAAAAAGAAAATTAGCTCACACCATCTAATTGTGCATTGTAGGAATGGCTCTGCTTTTTCCTCCTTCCATCAAGAAATACTTTCATTTCCTGATCTATTACTGCAACGTGCTAAAAGCCCTCAAAATAGAGTAGCTTTCAAATAAAAGGAGGGTCACCTTTCAAGGATTTTTATTTCTTCCTTGTTAATTGGGGAGGGTGGGCAGGAACAGGAAGTGCCTCTTTTTTTTAAGGACAAAAATAACGAAAGGAATGCCCCTGATTTGACAAGATCATTTTGTAGCTTTAAAAAAAACAGATTTTTTTTTTTTACATGTACGATCATGCTTAGACATGAGTTTCAAGTAGTCACCTTGTTTTGAGGGTTGGGGTTTTTTGTTTTTTTTTTTGCAAAGTAGGGCAAGATTGTTGCATTAGATCAAAATGTACTTCTGAAGGCTAGATTAGTTACTGGGTATTTAACAAAAAAAGAGATTTCATCACAGCATGAAATAAATTCTTGGACCAACTTAAGGATCTTCCTTCCTTCCTTCCTTCCTTCCTTCCTTCCTTCCTCCCTCCCTCCCTCCCTCTTTCTCTTTCTTTCTTTCTCTTTCTTTCTTTCTTTCTTTCTTTCTTTCTTTCTTTCCTTTCCTTTCCTTTCCTTTCCTTTCCTTTCTTCTTCACTTCCCTTTCCCCCCCCCCTGAAAAATGCTTCCAGACATTTCACTGAAATAGTATAGGCTTTCCTGCCTGAGCAGGGGGTTGGACCAGATGACCTCCAAGGTCCCTTCCAACATCATCATCATCATCATCATCATTATTATTATTATTATTTTATTTTATTTTATTTTTAGAGAGGAACCACATAACTGAGGCAAATATCACAGGTATCTAAGAATCTTGCAAGATTTTAATGTGGGGATTAAATTACCCTTTTGTATCAGTTCCAGAATTCAACGTTTTGTTTTACTTCAGTGCAACCAATAATCAAGTGTCATTTTTTTTTATAAGGCCACACACACAAGGCCTTTACTTTTCAAAGTTCTGCTTTGCAAAAGGGCGGGAGAAACACATACTTCTTTTTTTCTTGGGATATTGAAGGAATAGGGGGCAACTTTCTCTCTCAAAAATGACCAGAAGCAATGCTACCATTTTTCAGCAGCTACGGCCAACAATGGTTCTCAGAGTTACAAGGAACAGTTTGGTAGCTTCCTACAGTTCTTGGTCTATCACTCCGTTTGTTTTGCTAGAGGCAGGTATTCATGTCTGCATCTGAACGACATGCTGAAACTCCGGTATCCTTTAGTTTTATCTCTTCATTCAGAGACAAGCCTTCTTGACATTCATTTTCAGCTTTCTTGGCCTCTTGTTCTCTAATATTTTTCTTCAGAAGCTGGAAAAAGATGAAACCCAGCAGAAAAGATGGCGCTCTCAAGGCAGTTATTAGACCATAGAAAGAATACCTGTGTGAGAAAAAAAAATGTGCTTGAAAGTCAATTATGAATTTTGGTGGCTACTTGGACTAGTCCCTACTTTTTTCTTGGCTTACTCTTTTCTTTTTCGGAAGTGATTGCCCTTACCACCTTCTTCCTAGGGCTGAGAGAGAATGACTGGCTAAGGTCATTCAGATGACTTCAAGCCTAAGGCAGGACTAGAACTCCCAATCTCCCAGTTTCTAGCCTGATGCCTTAATTACTACACCAAGCTGGTACTCAAGATAAATTGTTATTTAGTAGTCGATCTGGAAAATCCCTGAGAGTTTGCTATCAATATTAATTTCCAGGGAATCGTCAGTTGGGAAATTCTATTGTCTTGCTGGAACTCATTTCATCTGAATGTGGACACTGTGTTAATTTGGAAAGCCATTTTGATGGCTTTCTCAGAAGCCATGGGATTGCGGTAAGACTCACCTATATTGTACTGCATCATATATCCTACAAGATCCTTTCTGGCCACAGGGGTTAGTGCCCCACTTCAAGCAAGTCTTGTCAATCATTGCACCAAAGTAAACTGGGGCTGGAATTCCAGCTAGAAGAGATCAGACAGGAAATACATATTAGATTGTCACTTCAGAAGCATTTTTCAGCAGTTTTCCCGAGTGGGTTGACAGCAGAAGTAGGATAAGATGTAGCCTTTGTCAAGCACTAGGAAAATCAGGAGATTCAGGCAGTTCAAATGAGTATAAAGATTTATTGCAAGCTTAAGCTCTCTAGAAGAATCTGGCCAACTGATAGTCAAGGGAAATGAGCGGGAGATAAGAGAGACATTCAAAGTGGGCTGGACTTAGATCTCTTGCAGTGGCGCAGGGACTCATGACTTAAGACACGTTTGACCCCTCCCTTGGGCACAGCTTGATCATCTCCTACATCCAAGTGTATATACAGGTAGTCCTCAACTTACAACTATTCATTTAGTGACCGGTCAAAATTACCACGGCATTGAAAAAAGTGACATGGCTGTTTTTCACACTTATGACCGCTGCAGCATTCCCATGGTCATGTGATCAAAATTCAGACATTTGGTAATTGGCTCATTTTTATGATGGTTGTAATATCCCAAGGTCATGTGATCACCTTTTACAACCTTTTGGCAAGCAATGGGGAGCCAGACTTACTTAATATTTGTGTTGCTAACTTAACCATTACAGTGATTCATTTTACAAATGCATCAAGAAAGATCATAAAACGGGCCAAAATGCCCTGAACAACTGTCTCATTTGGGGCTCAGTTGTGGTCATAAGTCAAGGACCACCTGTATTTTTGAAAACAAGATATATATACGATGCACGCACATAGACAGCCCTTTGCAAGAACATCAAGAATTGGTTTACTTCATCAAATCAAAAGTGTTCCAAGTTTATACGTGTAAATTCTGCGAATCATGGACCAATTGTTGGTCTCATAGAATCCACAGAGTTCCCAAACTATGGTTTTCAGTCTTTTTATCTTGGGTCTTGGAAGCAATTGGGCAGGATTAAGAAACAAAATATCTTAAATATTTTTTTGATATCTTAAAATCTGCAGCAGTTTGGCTCTTTCCTTATATGGCAGAACCCATTTCCCTTCTCAATGCCCACCTCAGTTCTGCAAAGAATACAAAGCAACTCAAATTTGTCCCTAGGGTTGAGGGCAGTTTTAAAAATGCAACTCCAATTGCAAATCAAAATCAATTTTTTTTTGTTTTTGCAAGCTAGATTTCTTTTCCTCAGCTCTGCACAATCTGGCTTCTGCAATAGATCACCTTTACATAAGGAGATTTCACTAGATAGCATTAAGCTTGGGATCATTATACCTTTTTTGAAATTAGTGTCCCAAGTTAGTTATAATGCAAGAAAACAACAGAGATGTTTTCCAAGTATTTCCCTTGCATGAGAGCAGAGGTGCTAGCACAGGGGTAGGCAACCTTGGCTCTTTTATGACTCGTGGACTTCAACTCCCAGAATTCCTGAGCCAGCATGGCTCAGCATGGAAACCTCTCCCTTTCCCCTCAGCATGGCTGGCTCAGGAATTCTGGGAGTTGAAGTCCATGAGTCATAAAAGCGCCAAGGTTGCCTACCTATGGCCTAGGCCTATGACTCGTGGACTTCAACTCCCAGAATTCCTGAGCCAGCATGGCTCAGCATGGAAACCTCTCCCTTTCCCCTCAGGATGGCTGGCTCAGGAATTCTGGGAGTTGAAGTTCACGAGTCATAAAAGAGCCAAGGTTGCCTACCCCTGTGTTAGCATGTAAACAGGAACACTGAAGATTTCCAAAAGTATGAGAAGACTTTAAGAGGAAAAATAAAAGCATGTTGAATTGCAAAAAAGTTGAAGTGCAGGATCTTCCTGTGCTTGGCTTACAGAAACAAATATTGCTTTTTTTTGTAAAGCAACTAAACCCAACCCTTTTAAAACCCAAGACACTGGTTAAAAAAAGTTCACCTCAACATCCCTCAGTTGTAGCTATTGAGGAAAACCCTTCCCTGACAGCAAACATTCTTGCAAATTGTGTACATCTTGTATAGAAGATTTTTCTGAATATACATTTGGTGCTGATTCTGGTATCATGGATTATTGATATTGTTCCCACAATTCCAGAAAGGAACAGCTTGTATTTTCATGCCATGCTAGGGATTTTTTTCAGCAGCATAAAGTTAATGGTTGTAAGGTGTAAATTGTAGTTGGTAGGAAACTGATGCCGATTAATTTGACTCAAAAATCTCATCTGTTAAGGCCGTGGTGACAAACCTATGGCACGGGTGCCACAGGTGGCACGCAGAGCCCTCTCTGTGGGCACGCGCGCCATCTCCCCAGTCCTAGGCCTTCAGCTGGTTTTATAAAATCTTTTCACTTTAGGCCTCTACCACTATGTGCAAAAAAAAAAAAAAAAGGTTCAATCAATCAATTTCAACTTCTCACGGGAAAAAAAAGATCTCGCAAAGTTGGAATTGATTGATTGAATTTTTTAGTCCCACCCAGTCTGCTGTTACCACCACAGCCACACCCACCCAATGGGCCATGTCCACCCGGCACCCAATGATACATAAGTGGGTTTTGGGTTGCAGTTTGGGCACTTGGTCTCTAAAAGGTTCGCCATCGCTGTGTTAAGGTATTTCTTATGAACAGAGCATGCCTTTCTTTTATAATTATTTGCCTGTACTCTGAATAATATGAGTATCTCAGAAACCCTTGAAGAACATGTCCAATAATATTCCATGTAATCAGAATGGTCTTTCTTACCCAATGATCTTACCACAAGCATCAGAACACCGACCGCAACTGCCTTTAGGTCTTGAGGCACAGATCTATCAAATGACAAATCAACCATACTGGTAAACATGCTTCTATAGCGTTTGTCAAAAAATCTATAAATGAACTTCATGCAACAAATAAGTCAAACTGATGGAGAAAGACCCTTAACTCTTTTTCATTCCTATTGCTGTGCTTGGATTGACACAAAGCAATTACACAAAGCAGTTCATATAGTGGTAGGCATGAGGACATTTAGAGTGCAGTTACTACTCATGAATGTTGAAAAGTTCAGGTTTGATTCCTGCCAACTTCAGTGAAAAAAATGACATTACGCAATGATCATCTAGCCACTTGTCTCAAATTGTATAGGGTCTCCCATTTGACCAGGAGGTTGGACTAGATACAGTGGTTCTCAACCTTTTTAATGCCGTGACCCCCAACCAGTCGTAAGTCGAGGACTACTCAACCGGTCCTAAGTCGAGGACTACTCAACTGGTGCAGCACCATTTGCAGAATGGGACTTTTGGCGGGCTCAGCAGGGCAGAGACAGCCTGGACAATTCCTATTGGCTTTTGAAAGCCAATAGAATTAGACTCTATTCAAGAGAGTCTATTCTATTGGCTTTCAAAGCCAATAGAATAAAAGGGAGTAGCACAGCTAAGGAAAAGGGGGGAAAATGGTGGACTGCGTTGTTTGGCGACCCCCGTGAAATGGTCGTTCGACCCCAAATGGGGTCCCGACCCACAGGTTGAGAACCACTGGACTAGAAGATCTCCATGCTCTATTCTGATTGATATCAGACAGTCCTCCCTATCTTCCTGGACAGACACAGCCAATCAAAGCCAATGATGCTAGACTCAATAGACCAAAGAACCGTTTATTTGTAGAAGGTGCTTCCCCTGCTTATTTCAGTTTGCATAATATGATACTAATTGGGAAATGTGCATCAGAATAGGTGTGATTGCCCCCTCACTCCACACAATCAGAACTGGAGAGAGATTAAGACCAGATAGATTTTCATACCTTCCCCCTCAAAAAAAAAAAATATCTTAATTGTCTTAAACAGTTTCTGATTTCTTGTCTCCCCTTGCAGTGAAAGCAAAGATAAATAAAATTCTAGTCATATTAAGGAATAGTGAAGCTGTGGACACTCAGATGCTGCTGAATTAGCAGCCTCAATCGGCAGGAATTATTGATTATAGAGCAGTGTTTCTCAACCTTGACAATTTTAAGGCATGTGGACTTCAACTCCCAGAATTCCACAGCCAGCGTTGCTGGCTGTGGAATTCTGGGAGTTGAAGTCCACATGCCTTAAAATTGTCAAGGTTGAGAAACACTGTTATAGAGGATGGAAGTTGTAGTTCTATAAGTCAACATTAAGATTTCTCCATATTACATAAATATACCCTACGGGGCTTTATGTGGAAAAAGGAAATTAGACACAAGGAGAAGTTATTTTAAGAAATTTTCACCTCTTTGTCTTTTGTAAAAAAAAAAAAAAAAAAAGGAACCACAAAAATAATTGACCTGGATAGACATTGCAACATTTTTTTTCCTCCATTGCTATCTCTTCACTAAAAGACAGAAATTACAACATAATTGTTTGGAAAGATATCATTGAAATAGCCTAAGGAATAGCTGGAGTGCTTAAAAGTTAATTACATTTAAACAGATAAAATGTGCATTTTGGATATTATAGTTTGTTTTGAAGTGAGATAAGGGAAATCTTGGTTACCCAAAGTTTGAAAATTATGGATATCAAAGGTTAAATTGGAATATTGATGAGAAATTAAAAATTATATAAAAATTAATAACAGGATATGGAGTGTTTATGAAGATTGAATGTAATTAAGATACGTATAAGCTAAAAATTTATTGATAAATGTAATAATGATGTTTTTATTGATATAATTAGAAATGTACTAGTTTGAATACCAGACAGTAAATGTTAAGGGGAAAAGAGAAGAAATATCTGATGTTGTAACCTGAGATTTGCACTAAAGATTTTGTTATTGAACTATTGATTAAACCCAGTCACCACGTTGCTTTTTAAATACTCAAATGTAAAATTGGAAAAGTAATAAAATATTATTTTAAAAAATCATAGATTTCTAGGATACATATATTTTCATTGAGGTTTAGATTTTTGACTTTTATTTTTTTAAAAAAAAAAAAGTCTGGACAGAATCTTAAATAACTATGCTGCCTTATTGGCTATTTACTTAACTCAAAGGTGGGAACCGTGGCCCTGTTAGGATTTGTGGACTTCAGCTCCCAGAATTCCTGGGAGCATGGTTGGCTCAAGAATTCTGGGAGTTGAGGTCCACAGGTCATAAAAGGGCCATCATTCCCCACCCCTGACTTAACTCATTCCTTACCTGATAAGGAGCATGAACAGAGGAACGCCACCCAATGAGTACAGAAAGGCGCTCACAGCTTTGGTAATGGTGTAAAAAATAAAATTTTTTGAGCACTCATCACTTCTTCGGCATTCACCCAACACTGCTGAAGAATTCCTCCACTTAGTATCTGCTTTCGCAATACAGCTACAGTTGTGAAAAACCTATAAGGAAAAGAATATGAAATGAACATCCCAGAAAAAAAATGGAAAACATTTCCAAATTGCTGGCAAGTGAACTATATCGCAGTATTGGTGCTCTTGATAGGAATTGAGCTTGATATGGTGGCATCTTTACTTTGACCCTGGGTGTTTGAAGGATCCTGATATCTATTGTTGCTCACTGCAGTAGAAACATCTGTATTTATTTGTATCTCGCCTTCATTATCTTTACAAATAACTCAAGGCAGTGAGCATATCCACCATACCTTCCTCCTCCTATTTTCATCACAACAACAACCTGTGAGGTGGGTGGGGCTGAGAAAGAGTGACTACCTCTAAGTCACCCATGGCTAAGGCTGGACTTGAACTCACAGTTTCCTGTTTTCCTGCTTTCTGGTGCCTTAGCCACCAGGTCAAACTGGCTCAAACCTTGTGTACAAATTTAAAAATTAAGCCTTAGACCTCATGTATCTCGTTTAAAAAAAATATGAGGAAGCAAAAACCCTTTTCTGGGGGTTTTCTGCCTCTCGTTTCTTCGCTCCTCAGGTTCCAGCCCAGAATACCGACATGGAAAAAGTCAGACTCTCGCCCTTACTGTTTCTTTCTTCCATCTCGTCATGTTTTTGCACCCAGCAAAACAGGCCGACACATATGTGAGTCCGTTATCTCCACAGACAGGATCCCACTGGCTTGTAGCACAGGTACAGTTGGAATTGCAGGCTGAAAATAAGGAAAGTTGGTTCTGAGCAGTTGTGTCCCTTAAAAAAAAAAAAGGAGAATAGAACATTTAAAGGTTCTCCTAGAATTTCAATATGAAGCATCCAAAATAGGTCAAGATATTTTATTTATTTGTTTGTTTGTTGTCCGTCTATCTGTCTGTCTGTCTGTCTATCTATCTATCTATCTATCTATCTATCTATCTATCTATCTATCTATCTATCTATCTATCTGGCTGACCGGCCGTACTCTGGCTGACTGGCCGTACTCAGCGTGTGGTCCTCAATGAAACTGCATCTACATGGAGGGAAGTGTGTAGTGGGGTGCCCCAGGGCTCTGTTCTGGGCCCAGTGCTCTTCAACATCTTCATCAATGATTTGGACGAGGAGATAGATGGGGAACTCATCAAATTTGCAGACGACACCAAGCTGGCAGGAATAGACAACACTCCAGAAGATAGGCTTAAAATACAAAAGGATCTTGACAGACTTGAACATTGGGTGCTGCTATCTAACAAAATGAAATTCAATGGTGAAAAAAAGTAAAGTTCTACATTTAGGCAAGAAAAACCAAATATACAGGTATAGTATAGGCGGTCCCTTGCTCAATAGTAGCAACTGTGAAAGGGATCTTGGAGTCCTAGTGGACAATCTCTTAAATATGAGCCAGCTGTGTGCTGCAGCTGCCAAAAAAGCCAACATAGTGCTAGTTTGCATTAACAGAGGGATAGAATCAAGATCACGTGAAGTGTTAATACCACTTTATAGCATAAAACATTAAAATCATAACATCTCTAAAATAATAAAAACAAAACTCCCAATCCAGATAAAATTATGATTATAAGATGAGGAGGGAGGGAACCAGATGTGCAGGGAAGGGAGCTGGGATTGCATCTTAATTCATCAACCGGTGGAAAATGCAAAAAATAAAAAAGATGGCTATCTCAGATGGGACAGTGTAACTGAAATCTATTGATCATAGCTTACAGATACGGTGTAAACGTGTCCTGGTTCTCGATTGTGTATTGATTGTGTATGACAATCAATGCCATAGACACCTGGATATCCTCTCAGCACACATACACACCACAAGCTTACAGACCTATGTATACTCACATACTTATCAACATATTGTCCTACCCGTCATAGGTCGCTGACAACCCAGCCACTAGGTGGTTCTCACAGCCAAGCATGAAATACACGAATGACAAGGCAAATCCGATGAATGACACTGCGTATGCCAGTTTTGCAGCAGCAAGGATTCCTAGCTTGAACTTTTTCATGATGAACCCACCCGCAAAAATCCCGATGATGACCACTGGCAAAATGGCAACAGCTGAAATATATATAAAAAATAAACAAAGAAAAAGTGAAAGTCACCTCCCTCCATTGGCCATTTGGATGCTCAAGATCAGGGCTTTTCAACCAGTGGTACAGGTACCTGGCAGGTGGTACGTGACCATCCTAGAAAAGAGGTAGCGGGGAGGGAAATGAGCTGAACCGGTGGCAGCACCGCACAAGCCTGAGTGAGAGATGGCTGGAGCTGCAAGGCTGTCAGGGCTCAGCGGAAGCGCCAGGATCAGTGCCGCTTTCCAGCTGATCGGTGCTTCGGGGCTGTCAGGGCTCAACGGAATGCCAGGATCAGCGACAGGCTTCAGCTGGAGCTCAGCGCTGATCCTGGTGCTTCTGCTGAGCCCAGAAGAAGCACCAATCAGCTGGAATGTTGCAGCATCTCCAGGGTCTTGCGATTTACATTCAGATGCTTGGCAACTGATTCATATTTATGATGGTCACAGTGTCCCAGGGTCATGTGAAGTGACCAAAACCTGCTGCAACCACCCAGCAGACGGAGGGGAATAAAAACCAAACACCTCCCCCCATTCCACCCCCTGCCAATCCTCAACAGAAATGTTCACAACAATGAAAACCTCGGACAGGAGGAAGAGCGCAGCTGGGCGGGCAGGTAGGTGTCTTGCTCAGCTGTGGCTTGGGGGGTACTTTTTTCAGTGCCATTGTAACTTCGAACAGTCACTGAGTGAACTGTTGTAAGTCGAAGACTACCTGTACTTTATCATTTTTTTCCTTTTTTATTTTTGGTCATCAAGTTTTTGACTCCTTGCTAGGCGACTGGTGGTACTCGGATGTTGCCATATCTTAAAAGTGGCACAATGGGTGAAAAGGTTGAAAAGCCCTGCTCAAGATGAGCAAAAAAGAAACATGTGCACGGACATGATGGAAAACAGAGGGAAGAGGATTGCGGTGGTCCTCGACTTACAACCATTCATTTCAAGTTACAACGACATTGAAAAACGTTGACTTATGACCGTTTTTCATACTTAGGACCGTTGAAGCATCCCCATGGTCATGTGATCAAAATTCAAATGCCTGGCAACTGACTCATATTTATGACGGTGGCAGTCTCCCAGGGTCATGTGATCCTCTGTTGCGACCTTTTGAGAAGCAAAGTCAATGGGGAAGCCAGATTCACTTAACAACCATGTTATTAACTTAACAACTACAGTGATTAACCAGAGCAACTCGGATAAGAGAGGTAGTACATGGGCATCTTTGGTGCCTCCAGAACTGTATGCAATGCTTCATTCTGTGACACCTATCACTTCGGAATTTTCTTCAAGGCTAGCCCCACGTAGAACGTGTTGCAGTAGTCCAGACATGAGAATAACCAGTGCTTGAATGCCTGATGATGGGTACTCATGATCCATTAATTAAGTACTATTGAGAAAATTAAAAATAGAATCAAATTTACATTTTATTTTGATTTTGCAAATTGCCTCTCTCATTTATTTCTCAAAGTCCTCCACGTTTGGATGAAAATATTGTTCCTTAAATTACCTGGCCTATTAGGAAGCTGTGGTACAAGCAGGTATGTGTGTGTGTATGTGCATATGTAAAGAAGAGCAGAAATGAGAACGAGACAGAGAGGGGGAGAGAGACTTGCCTGTTATAAAATTAGATCTCGACACTGACAGTCCATATTGCTGTTCCATATATTTCGCCTGGTAGGTGATATATCCAATTAAACTGCTAACATTCAGCAGTGAGGAGCACAGTAGTATAATATACATTTTGTTCCCTAAGAGTCTCTTTAGGGACTTGAAGAACTCTGGGAAAAAAGATAGAATATTCCTGTTGGTATGGTAGATACCTGCTATATATATATATATATATATATATATATATATATATATATATATATATATATATATATATATATATATGGCAGGTATCTACCACATCTTTGCCCCAAAAAAGTAAAGGTAAAGGTTTCCTTTATCCAGTGTATGTCTGACTCTAGAGCAGACATGTCAAACACAAGGCCCGGGGGCCAGATGCAGCCCGCGAAGTGGTTTCATGTGGCCCGCGAAGCCATCCTGGAAACAGTGAGGGAATGGCCCCCGCTGCCTTGGCCCTGGCCCAGGTCAGCTGGGACCCAATGTACAATTTTGTGGTGGCTATCTTGGCACTTGCCCCAGTCCCACCCCCTTCTGCCAGAGACCCTCAGATTTGTCCCACTCCTGCCCCTGCCCCCCTAGGCACCCTTGACACAAATGATGTAGAACTGACCACGCCTACCCAGTAGGCTACACCACTCCATCCACGCCCACCCAGTAGGCTGCACCTACTCTGGCCACACCCACCTGCCTCCCCCCCAGGGCAACCACAATGCTGATGCGGCCCTCAGTGAAATTGAGTTTGATACCCCTGCTCTAGAGGGTGAAGCTTGCCTCTGTTTCTTAGCCGAGGGAGCCAGCATTATCTGAAGATGCTTCCGTAGTCATGTAGCCAGTATGATTATATAACAAGGTGCAGGGAACATTGTTACCTTTCCACCGAAGTGGTACCTATTTATCTACTCGCGTTTGCATGCTTTCAAACTGCTAAGCTGGCAGGAGCTGGAGCATGTAATGGGAGCTTACCCCATCACACAATGCTTGGGTCTCAAACTGCCGATCTTCCAGTTAACAAGCCCAGCGTCTTAATTGCTAGGCCAGCACGTCCCTCTTGTCCAGAAACCCTTAACAAATCTGTGTCTGTCCCATAGTCTGAACAATGCCTTCTGCTTTGCATCCTTGACTGTTACTCTGGATATTGACTCTTTTGCCTGCGCCCCCCCCCCCCGGGTTAAAATCATATAACTAATAGTAAGAGATATGAATCCTACAGGCAGATGTGTGGTTATAGATTCCAGCTATGGATTGTACTCGGATGGGTATTGGCTTCCTAGGGCAAACCAGATAGGAAACTCAACGAGATGAGCTAATTCTACTTTCCTGTAAAGTTACATTGACAGAAAATTGTAAGTCTGAATGTAGAGTTCCCCTCCCCCATCTCCTTTACAGCCTGAGAAACTAGGGAGGGTATTCTCTGAGCCTCTTGCCACACCCATCAACCCGCTACAAGTCATGCTATCTCTATACCTTTGGCATCATCTCTTTGCCCTCCAAGGTCCCTTCCAACCATTATTATTATGGATCATCGCACAGTCAGCCAGATGTTCAGACTGGATTTGGCATTTTGTCTACCTATCGAGTCCTTACCCAGGACCTGGGATAGGCATATGTGGATGTTTGATGGTATTACAGGTATCGTCGCAGGATGGAAGCAGTTCCTAATAAGGCCACCTTTTGCAATCTTGCCACACCCATCAACCCGCTACAAGTCATGCTATCTCTATACCTTTAGCATCATCTCTTTGCCCTCTCTAGATGACCTCCAAGGTCCCTTCCAACCATTATTATTATTATTATTATTATTATTATTATTATTATTGTTATTATTATTATGGATCATCGCACAGTCAGCCAGATGTTCAGACTGGATTTGGCATTTTGTCTACCTATCGAGTCCTTACCCAGGACCTGGGATAGGCAGATGTGGATGTTTGATGGTATTACAGATATCGTCGCAGGATGGAAGCAGTTCCTAGTAAGGGCGCCTTTTGCAATTGACTAATAGCGAATTTGTCAATGCCAATGGTGTTCAAGTGGTGCTCCAGTTGTTTTGGGATTGCACCTAAGGAGCCTATGACTATTGGTACTAACCTTGCTTGCTTTTGCCACAGTCTTTCTATTTCTATTTGTAGGTCTTTGTATTTTGTTATCTTCTCCAGTTCTTTCTCATCTATTCTGCTGTCTCCAGGCACTGCCACGTCCACTATCTAGACTTTTTTTGTCTTTCTTATCGACAATTGTTAAGTCTGGGGTGTTACGTTGCAGGTGCTTGTCTGTTTGAATTCTGAAGTCCCAGAGCAGTTTAATTTTATCATTTTCTATTACTTTCTCTATTTTATGATCCCACCAGTTTTTGCTTACAGGCAAATGATATTTTTTGCAGATCTTCCAATGCACCATTGTTGCTACTTTGTCATGCCACTGCTTGTAGTCAGTCTGTGCAATCTTCTTGCAACAGCTTACCAGGTGGTCCACTGTTTTTTCAGCTTCTTTGCATAGGCGGCACTTACTGTCTGTTGCTGTCTTCTCAATTTTGACTTTATATGCATTTGCCCTTAAGGCTTGGTCTTGTGCAGCCAGAATTAGTCCCTCGGTCTCTTTCTTCAATTTTCCTGCTCTTAGCCATTGCCAGGTCTTGTTAATATCTGCTTTCCCAGCTATTTTTTTAATGTATTGGCCATGTAGTGCTTTGTCTTCCCATGCCTCTATTCTGTTCTTTATTTGGTCTTTCTTGTAGGCCAGTTTGGTCTCTCCAGTAGTCAGTAAGCCTTCCTGATATACTAATTTCAGTGCATCTTCATCATTGTTTTTCAGATATTCTTCCAAAGCCATTTTTTCTTCTTCAACCATCTGATGTACTTGTAGCATTCCACGCCCACCTACTTGCCTTGGTAGATAAAGTCTATCAATGTCACTGCGTGGATGAAGGGCATGATTCATTGTCATTATTTTTCTGGTCTTCCTATCCATTGCTTTTAGTTCTGCTTGAGTCCAGTCCACTATTCCAGCTGTGTACCTAATGACTGTAATTGCTCAGGTGTTGATTGCCTTTATGGTATTTCCTCCATTGAGTTTGGACTTTAAGATCTTCTTCACTCTCTTGATGTAGTACTATTATTATTATTATTATTAATATTAATATTAATATTATTATTATATGCCTTTATGGTAGGACTTTAATTATAGGAAATTCTTAGCTTCCACCTAGCACCAATCAATCCTGATATCCAATGCCATGGTGGTCCTGAGTAGACTTGCCTATGTATAGTGCTTCTCTATCTGTGACTTCCTGCTGTCTTGAACTTTATATGGAGATGCCATGTGGTAGAGAAAACACTGGTTCAGGATCTGAAACAACAAGACTAGGAATTGTGGTTGCTAGAGTCATGGCTTTAACTCTGTGTCTAATGTTCTGACTGCCATATCTCATCCTTCTCCTTGTGCCTTTCACCCCCATGATTGATCCTCTCGATCTTCTCTTCTCCTGCTACAACAGATCTTGAAACCTACCAATTTTCTGATCCTTACTGTGGAAAACAGTCCTTACCCAATTGAGACCCAGCCTTATAGTTGGCTCTCCTAGAATCCAGAGCTTGACCCTGATTGAGTCTTGCCACAGTTAAACTGAACCATTTTAATGCTTACCTTTTAATTGTCCAGAGTACGCCATTCCACCTTGAATATCAGGCTTTTGTCCATGGCTGTTTTCAATGTTGCTTTCCGTGGGATCCAGGTTTTTCTGGATACAGGCTTCTTCCTTTTTGTCCAGACTTTTAGGCAGGAACAAGAAAGGGATTCCAGAAATCAGAGCGATGACCCCAGCAACTAAAAAGTTCATCCACCATGCACCAACCCAACGCGAATCAGTTGGAGTGATAGTTATTGTATCTAGAGTGAGGAATGAAGAAAGCTGAGTTCCATTATCTGGAACACTGGTCTCATGGCGCTATGTCAAGTCTGTGTGCACTTCACAGAATAACAAACAACAATGCAGGTCTTTGCTTTCATAAATGTACAGAGTGAATGTCAGCATGGAAGAGCCCCTGGAAAGTTTAATGGGAAGGGGAGCAAAGTGAACAAGAGAACTGTTCAGAGAACTGAAAACGAAGCCCTTAGCATCTACAAGACATCATGAAAATGAGTTTCAAACATAAGCAACTGCAAGAGAGAAACAAACTTTTAGATGACAGAAAGTGGACAAATCTTTTGAGAGGATAGCATAGGATACGATCAGTGGTGGGATTCAGCCGGTTCACACCACTTTGGCAGAACCGGTAGCTAATTTTTTGTTGCCCGGGCCCAGAATGGACTTCCGGAAGCGGCATCCACACAGAGAACCGGTTGTTCACATATTTAAATCCCACCACTGGATACGATAGGATAGGATAGAGTAGGATAGGATAGCTTACCTTCAAAATTTGTGGGTGCTCCATCACTGGAGGCTTTCAAAAAGAGACTGGGTAACTATTTGTCTGAAATGGTATAGGGTCTCCTGCTTGAGTAGGAGGTTGTAGTAGAAGACCTCCAAGGTCCCTTCCTACTCTATTATTCTATGTTCTAGGAAATTTAGACAGTGGCTTGTCTACCCTCTAATATCCCATTTCTACTGAGTCCTTGCCAAATGCAAATTCAGGAGGTAGAATTCCACCGTTAAGATTTATAACCATTGTAGCCCATCTCCATAGGTCACTTGCTTGAGATAGACGACTATTGCAATTGAATAAAGTTGTCCAGTCCATTTTTAAAGCCCCCTAAATTGGCCACCATCCTCACATCTGGTGGCACTGAATTCCATAATTTAGCTAACTATTGGAGAAACAATTGTTTCCTTTCATTGGGCCTAGATCTACCAGCATTTGGGTTTAATTATGATCCTGTATGCTAAGATTATGAAACAAGGAGAAAAAAATTGATCTTGGTTTTACATATTGCTTTTACTATCTTTTCCTTGAACTGCTTTTTTTTTTAATGGTTCTGAGATAATTTTTTTTTCCATTTGGAAGGGGGTAACTCTGCCCCCCTCAGAATTCTGCTTTCTCTTAGTTTTTACCCTTTCCAGTTTCACTATATCCTTTCTCAAATACAGTGACTTTAGATTTACAGCTGCAGTTAACTTAGACCAGCTGGCTTAGCTGGTTAGTTCTTCTTCCATCTTACCTGTGTCCACAAAACCAATATCCACATAGAGTCTGGCAAACAGAGACCCCAGGAGAAAACCAGACAGTGGGCCAATCATGGCTGAGGTGTGCAAAAAGCCTGCAATGGTGAAGAAAAAAAGCATATATTGTTTTATTTAGTCCATACCAGAGGACACGTCTAACATTTGATGCAATAGATAATGAAGCTGGAAAGATATACATTGAATACGTTGTTCTTTCCTCTCCTCATTATAAGATCAGCGGCACCACTCTGAAGTTAAAGATGGTTGCTAATGTTTTTAGAAGACATAGACCTTTACCTATCTCAGAAGCAAAGCAGTGTTGGTTGTGGTTGGTAGTTGGATGAGAGACAGCCCAAGAATTTGAAACAATATTCTGGAAGAAGACAATGGAAAACCACTTCTGTAATCAATAGAATTGCAGAAGTGCCTTCATCTAGAGCAGCGTTTCTCAACCTTGACAATTTTAAGGCATGTGGACTTCAACTCCCAGAATTCCACAGCCAGCAATGCTGGCTGTGGAATTCTGGGAGTTGAAGTCCACATGCCTTAAAATTGTCAAGGTTGAGAAACACTGATCTAGAGTAGGGGGTCTCCAAACTTGGCAAATTTAAAGCCTTGTTGACTTCATCTCTCAGAATTCCCCAGCCACAATAGCTGGCTGAGGAATTCCGGGAGTTGAAATCCACAAGACTTAAAATTGCAGAGTTTGGAGTGCCCTGATCTAGAGTTATGGTTAGTGGGAAAGCATCTTTGCTTCCTATCAAATACTGTATGTTGTTTTCACAGCTGAGCTAATAAAGAGGCATGTTTTCATAGCCCTGGAAGGGAGGTCTTCTAACAACAACAGAATAACAGAGTTGGAAGGGACCTTGGAGGTCTTCTACTCCAACTCCCTACTCAGGAAACGCAGGAAACACTATACCATTTCAGACAAATGGTTGTCCAATCTCCAAGCTCCAGTGATGGAGCACCCACAACTTCTGGGAGCAAGTTCTTCCATTGATTAATTGTTGTAACTGTCAGGAAATTTCTCTTTAGTTCTAGGTTGGTTCTCTCCTTGATTAGTTTCCATCCATTGTTTTTTGTCCTGCCCTCAAGTGCTTTGGAGAATAGGTTGACCCCCTCTTCTTTGTGGCAGCCCCTGAGATATTGGAACACTGCTATCATGTCAACTGTACTTCTTTTCATTAAACTAGACATACTCAGATCCTGCAACTATTCTTTACATGTTTTTAGCCTCCAGTCCCCTAATCATCTTTGTTGCTCTTCTCTGCACTCTTTCTACAGTCTCAACATCTTTTTTATATTGTGGCAACCAAAACTGGATGCCGTATTCCAAGTGTGGTCTTATAAGGCATTATAAAGCGGTACTAACACTTCACGTGATCTTGATTCTGTCTCTCTATTAATGTAGCCTCGGACTTGTGTTGGCTTATTTCTTTCCTTCAGCTTTTCACGGGAACGTGGATTATGAATACCAATTTCTATTATATCCAATAATGAATAGAATTAGATGTGACCTAAATTCAGTATTTGATAATTTAGGAATCCCCCAACTTGCCAAGAAGTATTAAAACCATCTCAGCTTGAACATTGCATATCTCTTCAGCATCATTAAGTTCAGATCAGGATTTGACAGACAAGCATTTGACAGATAAGCATTACTGATATAAAGAGGAACATCTTCTTCTCTAGAGAACTCATCGAGGTATGATATGCCCAGAGGATTAATGGGTGTTTCGCCAATTCCACGTAGCATATTCCCCAGCAAGACAAAAATCCATGCGTAAGAGGTAACCATTTTATGGTCACAGTCTGCAAAGAATAACAATTATGGAAAGAAAAGTCATTACGCCGGTCATACCTTTTCCTACAAAGCACAGATAGTCATACCTCTACAGCCCAGAGTGCAAAATAATAAGTGTGGTGAAACAGAAAATGAAGGTATAATAGAATAAAAATGTGCTTATGATAATATATGACTAGCAATAATATATGACTCTGCCATTTGTGCTTCTATAACTGTCTGGTTTGGTACAGCAATCAAAGAGGACAGAGACAGTCTTCAACAGATAGGACTGCAGAAAAAAAACAGTTGCAACCAGCCTGCTTTCCACTGAAGACTTGGATATTGTGTGGGTCAGACGGAGGGCTGAGAAAAATCGAAAGACCCCCCCCCTCACATCCTGGACATAAACTGTTTCAACTCCTCCCCTCGGGATGCCACTAACACAAAGACACAAGGCGGGTTTTTTTTTCCCCTTTGTTTTTTCCTTCTGCCGAACACCTATTTCAATAGTCTTATTTGTAAAGATATTTATCCATGTAGTATGGCTGTATTATTGCTTTATTATCTTTCTCATCTTTTCTACTACCTCCTCTTATTGATATTATGATTATGATTACTCTGTTTTTTTGCATGTACACTGAGAGCTCATGCACCAGAGACAAATTCCTTGTGTGTATTATTAGATTTGGCCAAATAAAGCTATTCTGTTCTTTTCTGTTTTATTATTCTATTCTATTCTATTCTATTCTGTTCTGTTCTGTTCTGTTCTGTTCTGTTTTATTATTCTATTCTGTTCTGTTCTGTTTTATTATTCTATTCTGTTCTATTCTGTTCTGTTCTGTTCTGTTTTATTATTCTATTCTGTTCTATTCTATTCTATTCTATTCTATTCTATTCTATTCTATTCTATTCTATTCTATTCTATTCTATTCTATATTTCATTCCATTTCATTCCATTCCATTCTAGCATTATAATGGCTAACCACCAAGAGCTATTTTGTACTATAATAATTTCATATTTTGTTGCAATGTTTTGATGTTTTCATATTCAGTTGCATCCAAATAATGCTATCCAAATCAAGATAAATCCAGCCAATTTTACTGTTACATTAGTAGAATGATGTTTAATAGGATGCTGTTCCATCATCTTTCCCATAGATCTGAGCATGATTTCCAAACACACACACACACACACATACACACACACACACACACACACCGCTACATTTTCTAATGTAAGGTCTTTTCTAAAAGGAGCTTCCCACTTTGTGTACTCAACTTTCAAAGGCAGATTCACAGTAGTGTACAGTAATGGAGTCCATTTTGGTAGTTCTCATAAATCTGGTTAAAAAAAAATCCAAGGGGAGAGACTGATCATCCTCTGAAGAGAAGCCACAACCAACTAAGTAAATACAAGGTTAGGGCCACAAAACAGGTGAAATTAAGAACATTATCAACAGACGTTGATAATAGGGAGAGCAAGACTTTGGATTAGATCTTTGGAATGACAGCCTTGGGATGGTGTCCAACACCTTTTTCAGAACCAGGCAGCAGCTAACGTATGGTGGCTTCCAAAGGATTTTCTTAAAAACTGAATCTGAAATGCCGAATAACCCGAATCGACCACTTTGGAGAGATTTGTTGATTCTGCTTCAATCAGTGCTATCTCTTTTGATCATGTCCTGCTCCGTGCAACAGTCCTATGCTGAAGTTCTCCCTTTTACCTCTAACAATCCGGTGTCACCATCATTATCTAATGGTTATCAGTGGCACTGAGAAAAAAATGACACACGAGTATGGAAACATCACAATTTAGACGAAGAGATGTAACATGTTGCACTGAAGACTGAAGAATTAGCATATGACTTATTTTGATTTATAGACAACTTTATACCAGCTATTCAAAAGAGGATTCAGTATAATCGATTATTCGTACCTGGACTTGGCATCCCTTTTACCATGGGGGTATCCTGGGGATTGAATGAGCAGGGGAAGAAACTGGTGTTGTTGTCTGATGTGAAGGATATTGTGTCATATTGGTAACTGGAAAGGAAAGAGGTTACTCCTAGTGTGGGTACAAATACATTTTCTCCAGCTGGAAGAAATAAGACATATTTAGCATTGTTTTGGAATACACAGTTTACTGTTAGTATGAATACCATGGTTAGTTGTGGCTTATTTTATAATTTTACATTGTTTTGACCATTTTTATAGTTATAGATGCAGCTGCTACTTAAGAAGTGTCTATATATACCCAGAAGGGGTATATATCAAACTTGCAAGTCTGAAGATACTTCCCACGACCTCTTTACAGCAGGTTCTTCCTAAGTTTCTTTCTCTGACCATCAATCACTGAAGTTTTCTCCCTTTCTTGCCTCTTAGATGGGTCTAGAACAGTTGGATGTAGCCAATTCGCCCCAGTCAATTTGCTTCAGCCAACTCGTCACGGGATAACTAGCCACAGCCAACTCAACACAGGACAACTTGTTGCAGGACAAGTCTCACACTAATATCAAAGAAATGGTGGGATAGGGTCATTAAATAAAGGTTGTAAAAGGAGAGACAAAATGAAGGGCGAGTGACAAAGATTAAAATATTTTTTAAAATTATTTTAAATAATTAAATTGAATTGTTGTGGCAAGTTGGCCACGTTGAGTTGGCCGTGGCAAGTTGTCCCGTTCAGCTCCTTAAACAGAACCTCTTTCCCTCATTCCCCCAAGTTAATCCACCCATTCCATTCCGTTTTTGATGGGTATCTACTCTCCAGCATAGTATTCTATTTTGTCCACTTGGATCTAGAGTCAAGAATGCTCTATGAACCCAATTCCATAGTTTGTATAATATGAATTTCCTACTGTACGACTTAGTACGATGTAGGCCACAGGTCGGCAACCTGCGGCTCTGGAGCCGCATGCGGCTCTTTGAGCCTTCCCCTGTGGCTCCCAGCCTCCTCTGCCTTTGCAGAGAGAGACAGAGACAGAGAGAGGAATTGCGCTTCCCTGCTTCTCTCTCTCTCTTTCTGTGTGTGTTTTGTGTGTGTGTGTGTGTGTGGTGTGTGTGTGTGTGTGTGTGTGTGTGTGTGTGTGTGTGTGTGTGTGTGTGTGTGTGTGTGTGTAAAAAAGAGAGTGCACTCAGTGTTCTCCGAGAAGCTGAAAAGCTTTCTGGGCGGAGCTCCTCCCTTTGCTGCGTCTCTGCAGGAAGCAGGAAGCAGGAAGGGCAGGAGAGAGCTAGCTAGCCCAGCTAGGCTGACTCAGGAATTCTGGGAGTTGAAGTCCATGAGTCATAAAAGAGACGAGGTTGCCTACTCCGGAGGTTGTTGGACAACAGCTTGAAGCTTGCCAGGTGAGCAGCAGATGGGGGGGGGGGAGAAAGAGAGAGAGAGAAAGAGAGAGAGAGGGAGAGAGAGAGAGAGGGGGAAGAGGAGTGGCAGACCAAGATAGAGAGGGAGGGAGAGAGAGACCCTTTTGACATCTAAAATGAAGATAACGCTGCATATATCCTTTTTTTACCTGTGTGTGTATGTAATTTTATTCTCTTAAATCATTCTCTTGGTGATCATTGTTTTAATAGTATGGATATTCCCAAGAGTCATATTTTTACTTTTATTTTTAATGTGTATATGTGTGTGTGTGTGTGTGTGTGTGTACACACACACACATATACACATACACATACACACACACACATACACACACCTATAATAAAGGTAAAAAAGGATATATGCAGTGTTATCTTCATTTTAGATATCAAAAGGGTTTTGCGGCTCCCAGTGTTTTGTTTTTGGTGGGAAACGGGTCCAAGTGGCTCTTTGAGTGTTTTGGGTTGCCTACCCCTGATGTAGGCCATTTCCAAACCTCTCTATCTGAGTAAAATCCAAAGTGATTCACTCACGTAACTGGTAGAGTTCCTTATAGGTCCCGCATGGATATTTTATAAATCTTTACAATACTGGCCTTCCACAAATGGAGATGGATCTCTTTCTCTCTCAAATACTTTCTCTCGTACTCACTATCCCATGAAGAAATGAGGCAATGCCGTTAAAAAGCTCCCCAAAGACATGATAAAACAACCAAAGGCGATGATCTTGGGCCGATGAAATTTTGCCCCAAAGTAACTCACAAATGCAATCACCAACAAATTTCCTGGGAAGAGAATACAGAAGCTCTCCATTAGGTCATAATGCCATACAGAATAATAGAATAACAGAGTTGAAAGGGACTTCGGTGGTCTTCTAGTCCAATCCCCTGCATAGAGAGGAAACCATTTCAGACAAATGGTTGCCCAGTCTCTTCTTAAAAACCTCCAACAGTGGAGCATCCACAACTCCCGGAGGCAAGCTGTTCCACTGATTAATTGTTTGAACTGTCAGGAAATTTCTCCTTAGTTCTAGGTGGCTTCTCTCTTTGATTAGTTTCCATCCATTACTTCTTGTCCTGCCCTCAGGTTCTTTGGAGAATAGCTTGACTCCCTCTTCTTTGCGGTAACCCCTGAGATATTGGAACATGGCTATCATGTCCCCCTCGTCCTTCTCTTCATTAAAGTAGACATACCCAATTCCTGCAACCATTCCTGATATGTTTTAGCCTACAGCCCCCTAATCATCTTTGTGGCTCTTCTCTGCACTCTTTCTAGAGCAGTGGTTCTCAGCCTTTCTAATGCCACGACCCCATAATACAGTTCCCCATGTTGTGGAGACCCCCCAACCACTTATACATCACTGGGTGCCAGGGGCGTGACCAAAGAAAAGGGGGGGAAATGGCGGACAGCCTTGTTTGGCGACCCCTGTGAAATGGTCATTCGACCCCAAATGGGGTCCCGACCCACAGGTTGAAAACCACTGTTCTAGAGTCTCAACATCTTTTTTAATATTGTGGCTACCAAAACTGGATGCAGTATTCCAAGTGTGGCCTTACCAAGGCATCGTGCTAAATTTATACTCTAAATATGCTAAATACAATAAAATGTATATGCTAAATAAATAAATTAGGGCATGACCATTGCTGAATGATGTTCAGTTCCAGCTGTCAAAGTCTTGTGATGGATTAAGACCAAGGCAGTCAGGTTTTTCGGGGCTCTAGATACCAATTAAGTTTGGACCCTTTTCTCCCAATGCAGAAAACGGTGATCAATAATGTAACGCCTAGGACAGGGGTAGGCAACCCAAAACACTCAAAGAGCCACTTGGACCCGTTTCCCACCAAAAACAAAACACTGGGAGCCGCAAAACCCTTTTGATATCTAAAATGAAGATAACACTGCATATATCCTTTTTTACCTTTATTATAGGTGTGTGTATGTGTGTATGTGTGTGTGTATGTGTATATATATATACACACACACACAGACACACCCACACATATACACATTAAAAATAAAAGTAAAAATATGACTCTTGGGAATATCCATACTATTAAACAATGATCACTGAGAGAATGCTTTAAGAGAATAAAATTACATACACACACAGGTAAAAAAAGGATATATGCAGTGTTATCTTCATTTTAGATGTCAAAAGGGTCTCTCTCTCCCTCCCTCTCTATCTGCCCTTGGTCTGCCACTCCTCTTCCCCCACTCTCTCTCTCTCCCTCTCTCTCTCTTTCTCCCCCCCCTCCTATCTGCTGCTCACCTGGCAAGCTTCAAGCTGTTGTCCAACAACCTCCAGGGTAGGCAACCTGTCTCTTTTATGACTCATGGACTTCAACTCCCAGAATTCCTGAGTCAGCCTAGCTGGGCTAGCTAGCTCTCTCCTGCCCGTCCTGCTTCCTGCAGAGACACAGCAAAGGGAAGAGCTCCGCCCAGTAAGCTTTTCAGCTCCTCGGAGAACACTGTGAGTGCACTCTCTTTTTTTTATACACACACACACACACACACACACAGAGAGAGAGAGAGAGAGAGAGAGAGAGAGAGAGAGAGAGAGAGAGAGAGAGAGAGAGAAGCAGGGAAGTGCAATTGCCTCTCTCTGTCTCTGTCTCTCTCTGCAAAGGCAGAGGAGGCTGGGAGCCACAGGGGAAGGCTCAAAGAGCCGCATGCGGCTCCAGAGCCGCAGGTTGCCGACCTGTGGCCTAGGATCTCGAGCTCTCCATCCGTAGCTAATTCTCTTCCTGGTTTCAGGTTCCACCTACCCATTTCAAAGGCTCCATCGATGAAGCCAGTTGTAGAGGAAGCAATGCCGAATCTCCTTTCCAGTTGTGTCAAGGAACTTTTCATCGTGGCCCCAGCAAACGTTTTACTAAAGTATGCAAATGCCAGGGCAGCAAGGAAAACCTGAGAGCAGATGGGATTGAGAGAGAGGGCAGGAGAAGAAAAAAAAGAAATAGAGAGAACTCTAATATTCTCCACAAAATGAGAGTAACGTTCCCAGCCCTCAAACAAATCAAGATCTTTCCCAAGAATAAGCCTGTGTTTTCCTCTCCATCCCATCCCACTGTCAAAAAAAAAAAAAAAAAATTTCAAGGGCAAAGTGTTACTTTAAAATTAAGTCCAACCTTTCTGTTGCCAAGTGGGACAACTGTCAAGTGGCTTTTGTCCCATTTTACCATCCTTTCTTACCACATTTGTTAAATGAGTCACTGCAGTTGTTAAGTTAGTAACATGGTTGTTAAGTGAATCTGGCTTCCCCATTGAATCTTTGCTTGTCAGAAGGTTTCAAAAGGGGGTCACGTGATCCCAGGACACTGCGACTGTCGTAAATATGAACCTAGTATCATATTTATACATTTATTTATTTATTAATAAAATTTATATGCCGCCCAATCCCGAGGGACTCAGGGTGGCGTACAAAATTAAAACAATAAATATAACAATAAAACAGTAAAATAAGTGCATTCATACAGCATGTCCCAATTGTATCCCGGCCCCCCCGGGGACATCAGCCCCAGGCCTGCCGGAGCAGGAGAGTTTTAATGGCTTTCTTAAAGGCCGGCAAGGTGGGAGTAGTTCGAATCTCGGGGGGAAGTTGATTCCACCAGGTTGGAGCCACCACAGAAAAAGCCCTTCCCCGAGGGCCTGCCAGCCGACATTGTCTTGCCGACAGGACCTGAAGGAGGCCCAATCTGTGGGACCTCACCGGTCTCTGGGAACTATGCGGCAGTGTGCGGTCCTGTAAGTAACCTGGTCCTAAGCCATGAAGGGCTTTAAAGGTGATATTCGGTCAAATATCTGAATGTAAATGACCATGGGGATGCTGCAGTGGTCGTAAGTGTGAAAAACAGTCCTAAGTCATTTTTTTTCAATGTAACCTGGAATGGCCACTAAATGAACTGTTGTAAGTTGAGGACTACCTGCAGTGTGGATGAAAATATATCTGCTCCTTGTTAAGGGCTATTCCCTACATCCAGAAGGTACAGGAGTCTGGGGTGGGGGAAAGTCCTTCTGCTCACAGTGACCTCTGAGTGACAAGGAGATGTCAGTGTGGGTGACAATTCCTTGTGGGTCGTAAGATCTATGGGCCCTTGAAGCCACCTGGACATTTCTTTAAAGGATCGTCTTCGGCAAGAGAATGCTTAAATTTTCTTCAAGGATTCTTGAAAGAATTCTTTAGCACAAGAAACAACCCAAGAAAGAATTCTTTAGCAAAAGAAACAACCCAAAAGAGAGAGAGCACATAGTTTGCCTAGGAAAAAGCTTGTCGACCTGGTGGGATGCAGGGTGCCATCAACCCTGGGATCAGCAGAGGTATTTTATTTGTGTCATAAGATTGCCTGTATGCCTAATCTTTAATGTTTTCCACTGAAGTAAAGAATCTGTTTTCACTCCCATTGAAAAAAGGGAAAGGGGTAGAGTTAGCGGTGTGGAAATATATACTGCATAGCCCACTAAATTTTGCTTGAAGATCTATATATAACCCCAGGATTTTGCTGGTGGTCTCTGGTCCAAGCACTAATGAAAAGCAATTCTGATAGGATTTTCAAGATCAGCATTGGCTGGCTAGGCATGCAGGTGCAACTGGGGGAAGACTGAGTCCCTTCCTTCCCTCCCCCTTCCCTTCTTCTCTCCATTTCTACTCTCTTTTTCCTCTCTCCATCCTCTTCTCTGGGCCATTCCTTCCTTCCTCCCTCCCTCCCTTCCTTCCCTCCCTCCCTCCCTCCCTCCTCCCTTCTTCTCTCTATTTCTACTCTCTTCTCCCTCCCCCCGTCTTCTCCTCTGGGCCATTCCTTCCTTCCTTCCTTCCTTCCTTCCTTCCTTCCTTCCTTCCTTCCTTCCTTCCTTCCTTCCTTCCTTCCTTCCTTCCCTCCCTCCTTCTCTCCATTTCTACTCTCTTCTCCCTCCCCCAGTCTTCTCCTCTGGGCCCTTCCTTCCTTCCTTCCTTCCTTCCTTCCCTCCCTCCCTCCCTCCTCCCTCCCTCCCTCCCTCTTCTCTCCATTCTACTCCCTTCTCCCTCCATCTATCCTCTCCTCTGGGCCATTCCTTCCTTCCTTCCTTCCCTCCTTCCCTCCTTCCTTCCTTCCTTTCTTCCTTCCCTCCCTCCCTCCCTCCCTCCTTTCTCTCCATTTCTACTCCCTTCTCCCTCCATCTATCCTCTCTCTGAGCCATTCCTTCCTTCCTTCCCTCCTTCCCTCCTTCCTTCCTTCCTTTCTTCCTTCCCTCCCTCTCTCCTCCCTCCTTCTCTCCATTTCTACTCTCTTCTCCCTCCCCCAGTCTTCTCCTCTGGGCCCTTCCTTCCTTCCTTCCTTCCTTCCCTCCTTCCCTCCTTCCTTCCTTCCTTTCTTCCTTCCCTCCCTCCCTCCCTCCCTCCTTCTCTCCATTTCTACTCCCTTCTCCCTCCATCTATCCTCTCCTCTGAGCCATTCCTTCCTTCCTTCCCTCCTTCCCTCCTTCCTTCCTTCCTTTCTTCCTTCCCTCCCTCCCTCCTCCCTCCTTCTCTCCATTACTACTCTCTTCTCCCTCCATCTATCCTCTCCTCTGAGCCATTCCTTCCTTCCTTCCCTCCTTCCCTCCTTCCCTCCTTCCTTCCTTCCTTCCTTTCTTCCTTCCCTCCCTCTCTCCTCCCTCCTTCTCTCCATTTCTACTCTCTTCTCCCCCCCCGTCTTCTCCTCTGGGCCCTTCATCTCCTTCCTTCCTGTCCTTCTTCCTTCCTTCCTCTTCTCCTTCCTCCTCCTTCCCTCCCTCCCTCCCCTCCTTCTCTCCATTACTACTCTCTCTCCCTCCCCCGTCTTCTCCTCTGGGCCCTTCCTTCCTTCCTTCCCTCCCTCCCTCCGTTTCTACTCTCCTCTTCCTCCCCCCATCCTCTCCTCTGGGCCCTTCCTTCCTTCCTTCCTTCCTTCCTTTCTTCCCTTCCTTCCTTCCTTCCTTCCTTCCTTCCTTCCTTCCTTCCTTCCTTCCTTCCCCCCTTACTGGCTGATAAATGCTTAAACATTATCCAGTTTGTCAATATAGTCTTTCCCCCTGATTATACTGTATAGGCTAAAAGCTACAATCCTTGGCACAAGGTGGTTACAGGTGAGTTGACAAAAAAGATTCCACTTTGAACTTTGGGATGTTTATGGCTGTGCTGAACATGGTAATCAAAGGTCAGGGTTTTGTTCAGTTCATGTTTATCTACTGGCTAGCAGATGGATTGGTTTGCTCAAGGGTAGGGGAAAATGTTAAAAGATAAGCTTTCTTTTTAATGTATCTTGAAGAGAGCAATTTGGTGGAATATTAAGGTCAATTTCCCCAAGGCAGGGATGGAAAGGTCAGTTTTCTTGACCCTCTGATTGATCCCACCTCCTAGAAAGAAACAACAATTGAATCTTCCAGAGCAGGGGTCTGCAACCTTGAGAACTTTAAGACTTGTGGACTTCAGCTCCCAGAATTCCTCAGCTGGCTGAGGAATTCTGGGAGCTGAAGTCCACAAGTCTTAAAGTTCTCAAGGTTGCAGATCCCTGTTCCAGAGGATAACGCTTTTCCAGTTTAAGACTGAAAGATTTCTTTGTTTCTTCCAAAACAGAATAGCTTTCAATAACTCAGACCAGCCACAAGTGCTCAAGAAGATGCTTGGGGGAGAGGTTGTCTTTTTAAACCAAATTGCCAGAAGATCCATTCAGAAGCACCACCAACTTTGAAATGACCTTTCTCCAGTTACGATTCTAATGCCATTCACCCAAAGATCTTTTGAAGGAGCTTGCAGCCTCAAACCTCTGATGCAGAATTAAGTCATCAGTGGGGTGTTCAACAGGTGTCAGTCCTGGAAATATATCTTTATCTAGAACAGTGGTTCTCAACCTGTGGGTCGGGACCCCATTTGGGGTCGAACGACCATTTCACGGGGGTCGCCAAACAACGCAGTCCGCCATTTTTTCCCCCTTTTCCTTAGCTGTGCTACTCCCTTTTATTTTATTGGCTTTTGAAAGCCAATAGAATTGACTCTCTTGAATAGAGTCTAATTCTATTGGCTTTCAAAAGCCAACAGGAATTGTCCAGGCTGTCTCTGCCCTGCTGAGCCCACCAAAAGTCCCATTCTGCAAACGGTGCTGCACCAGTTGAGTAGTCCTTGACTTATGACCGGTTGGGGGTCGCAGCATTAAAAAGGTTGAGAACCACTGATTTAGAAGAAGACTTCATTGTTGCAAAACTGAATGCATTTTCAATATTTTTTTAATGGAATAATAATAAAGAAGCCATTAAACCTTGATTCCTTGACAGCGATTTGTTTTTTCCTTTATTGGTAGTTCATTCTCCTCTGACGGTTTGGTGTTTGTTTCCATGGCTGCTTTGTGCGTGGGGTCAGCATCCATCTGTTTCATGATTTTTTGTCTTGGATGAAAGATAGAAAAAAAAATTCTTAGGTTTTTGTTTCGTAAGACATTTTCCATGTGCCTCGCATTCTACTGTCTGTAGTGGGACAGACATCCTCAGATGACATAATCAGAGACAAATTTGAACCTTTTAGTTCTGAGAACATGACAGATGCAAGCAGGGCATTATGCCAAGATGGCAAAATCTTTTGTGGTCATTTCAGGGATCTTGCCCATAAACATCTAGAGAACCAACAGAGGGCAGCAAAAAGACATGTGAAATTTCCACCCTTTTCAAACCATCTAGACAAGGTCAATTGGTAGCACCAAGCCAGTGGTGGTGAACCTATGGCACGGGTGCCAGAGGCGGCACTCAGAGCCCTCTCTGTGGGCACGTGCGCCATCGCCCCAGTCCTAGGTCTTCATCTGGGTTTTATAAAACCTTTTCGCTTTAGGCCTCCACCGCCATGTACAAAAAAAAAAAAAAAAGGTTCAATCAATCAGTCAATTTCAACTTCTCGCGGGAAAAAAAAAGATCTTGCAAAGTTGGAATTGATTGATTGAACTTTTTAGTCCCACCCATTCTGCTGTTACCACCGCAGCCACGCCCACCCAATGGGCGACTCCCACCCGGCACCCAATGATGCATAAGTGGGTTTGGGGTTGCAGTTTGGGCACTCGGTCTCTAAAAAGTTCGCCATCACTGCACTAAGCCCTTTAACTCCTGGACCCCATGCTGCTTTTTAACATCTTTCTATGCCATTTTTCCCCCTGGAAGAACCCTGGAGGACCAATAAAAGCAATCTTAAATGAAATCAACAATGGTTAAACAGAACAGAACAGGACAGGACAAGACAGGACAGGATAGGATCTTTATTGTCATTTTAAATGTATTCTAATCAGCATATATTAGAATGAGATTTTGTTGCATACAGCTCTCAAAGGGTAACCACCTCCAATATACACTGCATAAACATGACAAAAATAAATAAATAAAATAAAATATGCATATACCCACTTACACACACGTATGTGGCCCAGAGAAACAATACAGTCTAGTTCGGACCTATACTGTTCAAAATCACATTTTTTAAATCTTAATTTACTACCACAGTTGAGCCCAGAATTATGGTTGCAAGTTTCTGTGGTTGTTAAGTGGGGCACTTATGTGAGTGCCTCACTTAATGACCACGATCACAGCTGTCTCTGTTTTGGTCCTTAAGTGGCTGCATGGTCATCAAGGGGAACACGAGGTGCCTCAGGAATAGGGGAAGCCATCCCCTGTTAATATCTGGTCTGGATTAGGCCTCAAAGGGCTGCTTCCAGCCCCTGAGGCATCTCTTGGACGGTTTCCTGTCCCAGTGGGAAATTGTGCCCTTCTGAGAGATTGTGGGAATGGTAGGTGTTGTGTCCGGAGCCTGCAGAAGCAGGCTCGGGACGTTGTTATGGTCCCGGGGTTGCTGCAAGCTGCCCGGGACCAGACAGCCCGACGGCAGCCTCGCGAGCATGTGCGAGGCGCGAAAAAGCGCCAATCAGCTATATCAGTTTTGCCCAGGGAATCGGACGTACTTAAGAGGCCTGCGAGCCTCTTAGTGTCCGTTGGTTGTTGCAGAAGTGAATAAAGAGCTGAGTAGTCACAGAATGAGTCTCCAGGCCTCTTATTCTTCCAAGGACTTAACAGTAGCCACTTCCTGAATGGTTGGAGGCTGCCTCTGTAAAAGGCTGTGGGATGTCTGAGCATTTTACCTAAAGAGCAGGGCTCTCCAAATTTGGCAAGACATGCTTGTAAGACTGTAAGATATGCTGGCTGGGGAATTCTGGGAGTTGAAGTCCACAAGTCTTAAAGTTGCCAACTTTGGAGAGCCCTGCTAAAGAGAATCGGCCAATGCGCCATGTGACCTTCCTGTACAGAAGACGCTTTTTTCCATCCTAGAAATGGACACCATTTTTGAGACCACATGTAATTCTTAGCTTGTGAGAACTGTGGCTGCTTCCAAAATGGCGCCCACTTCTGGGATGGCACAAGATGGCTTCCGAATAGCAAGGCTGCAAGGCACCTTGACTGATTCTCTTTCAAAAAGGCAATCTTTGGAACAGGGAAGTGGAGCAAAGCAGGATAGGGTGGGGAAGAGGCCTGCCTGTGCGGGTCCCAGTGAGGAAGGAAGCAGACTTAAGGCTGTGGGGACCCAGCCGGGTGGGAAGTAGATGCAAGGGAACAAATGAGGGGGAATGTGGGGGGAGGAATATAGGCAGTGGGGGTAATTTCAGTGTCCCTGAAGTCAATCATAAGGGTGGGCGGATTGCCCAGCACCCAAATCATGTTACTTGGGCCCATGACACCAGTTGTAACTTTGAGTACAGGTCATCAATCTCTTTGTTCAGCACCATCGTACTTTCAAACAGTCGCTGAACAAATGTCAAGGACTATCTGTACAACAAGCAATGAAAACGTCTGGTTTGAAAGAAGTTGTTACCTTATAAGTTAGGCATTAGTATTATTCCAGTATTCCTATATCTCAGGGGATGCCATAAAGAAGAGGGAATCAAGCTATTTTCCAAAGCACCTGAAGGCAGAACAAGAAGCAATGGGTGGAAACTAATCAAGGAGAGAAGCAACCTAGAACTACGGAGAAACTTCCTGACAGTGAGAACAATTAATCAGTGGAACAACCTGCATCCAGAAGCAGTAAATGCTCCAACACTGGAAGTTTTTAAGAAGAGACTGGACAGCCATTTGTCCGAAATGGTGTAGGGTTTCCTGCCTGAGCAGGGGGTTGGACTAGATGACCTCCAAGGTCCCTTCCAACTTTACTACTACTACTATTATTATTATTATTATTATTATTATTACTATTATTATTATTATGTATAAAGCCTTAGGGCAGGGGTCTCCAAACTTGGCAACTTTGAGACTTCAGGACTGCAACTCCCAGAATTCCCCAGCCAGCCATTTTAAGATCTAGATGTTCTTCATGATCCTTTTCCAACCTTCTTGAGTACTTTATATGTATACGAGTATACAAGTACTTTAGATGGAATATTGTTTGGGTCCCTCAAATGCTCCACATTAGTAAGATTGGTTGTAACTGATTCAATTAATAAACAAAATGATTGTGTGATTTTTAAAAAATGGCCGTGTTACCCTCTCCTCTTTTCTTTAAAAATGTCCTTCCAAGAACATGTGCCCATTACATGGGACAGAATTTCCAACTGAATCTTTTGCAGCGAGACTCTACTGAAGCTGTGGAGGAGACATCCATGGCACACAGCAAATTAGACAGGGGGATTTCTTTTAGTACATGGGAAAAGCTTGAATAAACAAGATAAGCTGTGAATGAAATTGCCGCTAGAGCACAAGAATGGGCAGTTGAAAAAATGAGTAAGAAGTAACTCGAGATGATGTAAAGAATTCTCCAAGGTGAAATTAATTATATTAAATATAACAAATACTTAAGGGCGTTCAGCCTCCTCCATTCTATTAAATCAACACAATCCATTAGAGAAAATTCAGGACCAATATCTTATTTTAGTCAGTATAAAAATCCCATCTATAGAAGGCCTCAGCAGAAGTCCAGTAGTAATCAGCAGATTGTATGATATCCCAAAATTAGCTTACCTGGGTTATGGATCCAGTTCTGCAACTGTTATAGTATCATTGGATAAAGTTCCAGAAAGAATTCCTGTCTCCAAGTGAGGGGATTCTGAAGTCCATTTAGGAAATCATTACCTTTCCTAGCTTCCTAAAATAAACAAAACATCTCTTCCATACCTCCCCCCCTCAACATTTGTTTGTTTTTTTTAAAATAAACTTTGTAGGACAAAAATGTTCTGAATGTAATCTTGGCACATTGGTGTCTTTGCTTGGAAAACAGCAGTGGGTTTGTTTTGAAGAAGAAGAAAAAATGTTCATTGTTTCTTTTGATTCCTGCTGTCGTTTTACCCAAATCTCTTCCAAAGAAAAAGTATCCATCCATGATGGAAACATAATAAAATAACCAAGCTGAATATGCCTTTGTGTTTAAATATCCTATCCCAGAAAAGTCTTATACTGATTTCTAGGAAAACAGGAGCATGGGCAAAATTTTGTCCAAGGCTCTTTCTACTTCCCTCTATTGCAGGCAGAGGCCAAGACTTCAGCAGGATAGTCTAGCACAGGGGTCTTCAAACTTGGCAACTTTAAGACTTGTGGACTTCAACTCCCAATGCCAATTTTGGGAGTTGAAGTCCACAAGTCTTAAAGTTGCCAAGTTTGAAGACCCCTGGTTTAGCAGAACATCCAGAATAATCCCCAGTCTCTTAGGAACTTAGGCCAACTCACCATAGATCAACTTGCTGTGGAACAATTGAACAATTCAATTTAATTATTTAAAATAATTAAAGAAAATATTTTAATTTTTGTCATTCAGATTTCATTTTGTCCCTCCATTGGCATTTAAAATTGGCAGGATGGTTACAGAAGCAGGAAGACATAAAATAAACTGCCAAGACTCAAACAAACAGCATCATGTTTATTTAGATTGCCCAGTTAATTGCTCGCAACACCAAGGGTTCTTTCCTAATGTGCACAGTGAGCCCAAATGACAAAGTTTCCGGAATTCATTTCACAAAGGGATTGTGGTTGGGCAATTTTTATAAAGCTGCATCCTTCTTTCCCCTTTCACCCCCACAGTGGCTTAGTTTAGGGATCTACTAGGGAAGAAGGTTACATTTTAATGAAGGTTAAGGATCTAACAGGTACTGGGCATCTGCTATGATAAAAAAAGAGAAATAACTATTGTAATGTGTTGGCCACAACTTTTTTAAATCACTTGCTTAATGTCTGACCTACATTGCTGTATTGTTTAACCTTTGCTGTTACTGAAAGCCAGACTGGCTGTCTCCAAGGTGATAATGAGGTTTGAGGCAGGAAACTGTTACTTTAAACCAGTGGTTCTCAACCTGTGGGTCGGGACCCCATTTGGGGTCGAACGACCATTTCATGGGGGTCGCCAAACAATGCAGTCCGCCATTTTTTCCCCCTTTTCCTTAGCTGTGCTATGCCCTTTTATTCTATTGGCTTTTGAAAGCCAATAGAATAGACTCTCTTGAATAGAGTCTAATTCTATTGACTTTCAAAAGCCAATAGGAATTGTTCAGGCTGTCTCTGCCCTGCTGAGCCCGCCAAAAGTCCCATTCTGCAAACAGTGCTGCACCAGTTGAGTAGTCCTCGACTTACGACCGGTTGAGTAGTCCTCGACTTACGACCGGTTGGGGGTCACAGCATTAAAAAGGTTGAGAACCACTGCTTTAAACTTATTGGTTGCCACCTAGAGGCTAACTGTATAAATAGCTGTGCAGCAGCCTTTAGGGCTGTTTCTGTTCTGAGTTAATAAACTTGTTTGCTGTTTCAACACTCTGCCTCCTTCAATGCCTAAAGAACCAAAGATATAACAACTATCTACTTGTGGTAAGAGCAGGAAGTTTGCTAACTTGTAGCTAGCAAGAGGAAATAGGCAGAGCTGGCTTGTCTAAGCACCTCTCTGCCCGGAGTTAATTAAAAAATGGGGGTCAACCCCAGGAGAATCAAGTTGCTTAGCATATATAGCAGGGGTCTTCAAACTTGGCCCTTTTATGACTTGTGGACTTCAATTCCCAGAATTCCTCAGCCAGCATGGAATTCTGGGAGTTGAAGTCCACAAGTCCTAAAAGGGCCAAGTTTGAAGACCCCTGCTATATACTGTAGTTCTGAATTATCTCATTATTGTTTACCATCAGCTACTTGAGCTTATTCTCAGTCTAAGTAAGGGATAGGATCAATCCTGCCGACTCAACAGAAGAAAAACACGAGAAGGCAGAAGAAACAGCCAGTCCTACTTACATCGTTTAAGGAATTTCTGCCAAGAAGGAAAGAAAGCATAGACAAAATTTTACCAGGAACTGTCACTGGGAAATTAGGCCAACCCTCAATTATTTGGGATATTTATATGATAGAAAATTTAGGCTACCAGGCAAATCATCCGGTAATTATGCCATGGAATGAAAATAGAAGCTTTCTGCTAGAGAAAACAAGAGAGAGCCTATTATAATTTTTTTTGATGGAAAGAAGAGATGGGAGGTAGGACTTAAGAAATGGGAGATTAGAGACCTCAAAATTAAGGTTTACCTCTTGTACACTCTTACAATGGTGGGACTGAAACAGCCAGCTTCTTTCTTTCTTTCTTTCTTTCTTTCTTTCTTTCTTTCTTTCTTTCCTTCCTTCCTTCCTTCCTTCCTTCCTTCCTTCCTTCCTTCCTTCCTTCCTTCCTTCCTTTCTCTTTCTTTCTTGCTTTCTTTCCTTCTTTCTTTCTTTCTTTCTTTCTTTCTTTCTTTCTTTCTTTCTTTCTTTCTTTCTTTCTTTCTTTCTTTCTTTCTCTTCGTTCTGCCAGTCTAGAGATCTGAAGCTGTTTCTCTGCCTGTGGATTAGTTGAACAATTATAAGCTAAAGCTGGGAAAGCAGCTACATTATTGTGGCTTGGGAACAGGCAGAAATCAGAGTCCGGCATTCTTGAACTGGGAAGTGGGCCAGAATCAGCTGTTCTGACTGAGAGGATGTGAAGGCCAGGACTGGATCTATGCAAGGTTGAAGTCCAGCGCCTAAAAATATTTCATGCTGGAACCTGCAACTCTGTTGGATTAACTGGATTTTCTCCTTCCAGTGTTACGGTGGTTTATTATATATTTTGTTTTCATTGTACAACTGTTGCACAGAGTGTGCTCCCTGGAATAAGAGTTGGACTTGCCAGATCTCTATCCATTCATACTCTTCCAAGTTCTGCCTTTGCAACTCCTCACCTTTTCCTTCCCTTGTGAAAGAGGGTTTTTTTTTAAAAAAAATTAAATATCAGGAAGTTAGAGATTTTTTTTTTCCAAATTTCCCTTGTTAGTGCTTCTGATTTGACATTTTTTACTGGAGATGGGAGTCTCGTTTTCGAGCTTTCCCATTCTTCCATTATACGGGTAGTCCTCAACTTTACAACCATTTGTATAATGGCTGTTCAAAGTTACAGTGGCTCTGAAAAAAGTGACTTATGACTGTTTTTCACACTTAGAACCGTTGCTGCATCCCCATAGTCGCGTGATCAAAATTCAGACGTTTGGCAACTGGCTCATACTTACGACGTTTGCGGTGTCCCAAAGTCACGTGATCACTTTGTGCGACCTTCTGCTGTGCAGGTTCTGAGGTTTTGCTTGATAAAAAAAAATACAGGAAACCAGAAGTTGCCTTTAAGCTTTACGTTTTTATTCAGCTGAACAAAGACGGGCTCCTCCGAAAGAGAGAAGTCCCGAATGATCAGAAATCCTTGTATTTGTTCTTTCTGATTACATAAGCAATCCACCCAGCAAAGCTGACACGCATAAGATAAAGATTTCACCCAGTAAGTCTGGCACACTGTAGACCAGGGCTTTTCAACCTTTTCACCCATTGTGCCACTTTTAGGATATGGCAACATCCGAGTACCACCAGTCGCCTAGCAAGATGTCAAAAACTTAATGACCCCCCCCCAAAAAAGGAAAAAAAATGATAAAGTACAGGTAATCTTCGACTTACAATAGTTCACTTAGTGACTGTCCAAAGTTACAGTGGCACTGAAAAAAGTGCCCCCCAAGCCACAGCGAAGCAAGACACCTGCCTGCCCGCCCAGCCGCGCTCTTCCTCCTGTCCGAGGTTTTCATTGTTGTGAACATTTCTGTTGAGGATTGGCAGTGGGGGTGGGGTGGGGGGTTGGTTTTTATTCCCCCCGTCTGCTGGGTGGTTGCAGCAGGTTTTGGTCACTTCACATGACCCTGGGACACTGTGACTGTCATAAATATGAATCAGTTGCCAAGCATCTGAATGTAAATCGCAAGATGCTGCAGCTGGAGATGCTGCAACATTCCAGCTGATTAGCGCTTCTTCTGGGCTCAGCAGAAGTGCCAGGATCAGTGCTGCTTTCCAGCTGATTGGTGCTTCTACAGGGCTCAGCAGAAGTGCCAGGATCAGCGCCGAGCTCCAGCTGGAGCCTGGTGCTGATCCTGGCGCTTCCACTGAGCCCTGACAGCCCTGCAGCTCCAGCCATCTCTCACTCAGGTTTGTGCGGTGCTGCCACCGGTTCAGCTCATTTCCCTCCCCTGCTACCACTTTTCTAGGATGGCCGCGTACCACCTGCCAGGTGCCAATGTACCACAGGTGGTACCCGTACCACTGGTTGAAAAGCCCTGCTGTAGATAAGAAGGGAGAAAGCAAAAGTAGTTAAAAATGTTCCCTTTTGGGTGTTTCCTTAAAGGCATTGTATGTTACTGGGTGGGTTAGGACACTGGGTGTTTTCCTTGCTGTCCTTTCATGACCCTTCATCCAGGACTCTGCAATTGCCCAAAGACAGCAGGTCCATCTGCACATATTCACAATTCATACTTCCTATGCCCATGGTGGCGAATCTATGGCATGCGTGCCACAGGTGGCACGCAGAGCCCTCTCTGTGGGCATGTGTGGCATCGTCTCAGTTCTAGGCCTTCAGCTGGGTTTTATAAACCTTTTCGCTTTAGGCCTCCGCCGCCATGTGCAAAAAAAAAAGATTCAATCAATCAATCAATTTCAACTTCTCACAGGAAAAAAAAGATCTTGCAAAGTTGGAATTGATTGAACTTTTTAGTCCCACCC